AAGACAACTCTCATAGCAGACAAAGCAACCACCAGTACCTCCCAAGAGCTCTTGCCATTGTAATTCTACTACCACTCTATCACCTTACACCACAACCTCTCATACTCACAGCAGCTCCCACCGCCGACCCCATCGCACCCTGACACATCCCATCCTCTTTCGCCTAAGAGACAACTAAACACTACTATAATACTATTATAGTAGCAGCGGATGGGAGCATGACCTAGGAAAATAATAGAGGTAGGCAATTATATAAACGGAGCCTAACAGGGCTAAACAAGAAGCCATCCATTCGTCTGTCCATTCGTCTGTCCATCTATTCACCCTGCATTTGAATTTTTGCCCCAGGTCTTGTCTGATTTCCCACCCTCGGCTCTTTTCCAGTCATCTACTACAGCTACTGCTGCTGCTGTGCTGAGCGCAAGGAGTCATAAGCAACACAAGACTCAACGCAGCCAGCTGTTCCTTACCCTACTCTCCCCTCAAAGCATGCGTGCTGTGTTATCTATCATCTTAGACCAACAGCATTATCTGATTTAGCAAACCAAAGCCATCAACATTCACCTGAATCTTTACAAAGAGGTTTTTATTTATCAACCCACAGTCTATCCAGAGATTCTCTTTAGCTGATGTCGCAATGCCTTCAAGACATCGCGTGCAGCCTCGCGAGGTTTCTCCAGAGCCAGAACATCTACTATTCCGGCCCCATCAGCCCAACCCACGCAAGGAGACGTATATCCACAGGTTAGGCTAGGCAGTCTCACACAAAGATATTCAAGCCAATTTTCTATCACTTTTCCTACCCGTAAAAGCCTTGCGCGACCGCTAGTAATGAAACCAAGCCGCACAAACCGTCTGTGGCCAGCCTCTCCCCCACTTCAAAGGCGCTAAAGGCGTCTGCTTTGAGTCTGGAGCAGAACTCTCCTACGCCATATGCCAACAACGCTACAGCGCCGAAACCTACGTGCGCACTGACCGCTAGAAAGGCCTTAAGAACGCCATATCTGAACTCCGCAGCCCAGTTATTGAGCACAAGGCCAACCAAGGTTTGACCAATCCAACCAAGGCCAAGCTCCACGAGCTCAAACGCCTCGACTTCGTGCCGGTAGTCAAGTAGGACAACAGCCCCATCATGTCAGCGTACCAAAATAGACCTGTGCCCAGAGGAGGCCGATCTAGGACAACAGCGCTACAGGCCCGGCCATGCAGAGCTATGAACGAGGTGTAATGTGTCGCGAGTTAGAGCACATAGCAGGGCATATGAGAATAGGTCTAAAAGTGGCTTGATTATACTAAAGGAGAGTTATAAAAGTGGGGGCCTATATATATGTGACTTGTTGTAAGTAATGAACGTGGTACACGTGATATGGCATATGTAAGACGTTTTGCTGGTTGCTAGTCATGTTGATATAAAGCTATCGTGATATAATGGTATTAAACTTTCCGCTAATTGTATTTCATTACATTGTCCTGTGATACTGTCTTATAAACTTGCTTCCTTATAAACTTATCCTAGGTAGGCTGAGGCTGGTTTCACACCACATAGATCATGTCAGCCATCTATCACTCCTCCAGGTAAAGAGTCCTTTTTCTTCCAGAGGAGCTTAAGCTAAGCACCAACGCACTCATGCCATCTGCGGATCAGTTGTTATTGTGTTGAGTAATCATTCTAGACCCCTATGAGCGGTCTAGCCCAGTTCACCAGATATGATAGTCACAATACGTATAACCCGGTAAACAGCACTTCTGACCTGTGCCAAATCTCGATCCCTCAAGACGGGACAGAATACCTGATAGCAGAGCAAGTGCCGAATCAGACTCCACTTTACCTCGTACCTGTGAATCAAGGCTGTTGTTGTCTTGGTAAGGTCCCTGGCCACCTGAGGGGTTCTGCGTGAAGATGGCGTTGTTCAGTGTGCTCGATCCTTTTCATCGTTCGCCTGCAATGGCACACGGGGGGTCATTTGAGCGGCTGAACATGTTTCGCCTGCTTGGGTGGCACCGCTCTTCATCTCATATGACCGACCATGTTCTTCTGCACTAATCTATGGAAAAACGGACGGGATCCCGAGTTTTCCGGTGGTTATGGTCGTATGTGCTTGAGACATGACTTTAAAGCCATTGTTATGCTATCTTGTTACTGGACGAGCTGTTCTGTCGCACGACTTTGGCGGCGGCAAGGGCCGTACGTGAGGGGCGGCCTTGAACAGAACATAACATTCATCAGCTACCTAGGAACCAAGGTACCTCATGTTATCAAGACAGTCTCTCTCTCTCTCTCTCTCTCTCTCTCTCTCTCTCTCTCTCTCTCGGGCGCAGTGGTTCAATAAACTGCTGACGACCGAGTTCAAGTGGTTAACTCGCTACCTAAAAGACAACGACTACTTTGCGAAGATTTGCCCCCGGGTCTAGACAGAAATGTGCTCATTTTGTCACCCAATGACTCCATAGCGCATACAACCCCCTGGGCGCATAGCGGCCGAAGCTGCTATTGCGAGCATTTATCAGGAAGGCTGCCTACACGACGGCGTAGGCTCTGAAATGGGTGGCCGAAGCCTTGCTGTTGCGCCCTCCGCCAGAACGGGCACCTCCAGAGCCACTTTAGCTAAGAAAGTGGTGCCGGGCGCAAACATACCTATCTACCTACCTATCTACGACTACACACCCTCTACGCCACCCCCATTCTAACATCCTACCCTCTACACCTGCCACAGTACCAGAGGTATAGAGCCACCCACTGGATAATAAAACGATACTTGACCATGACATGGATGTGCGATTAGCACTATACAATTAGGCACACGGAAAACCCCTAGTCACACTAAGGGCAGACTAGGGGTAGACAAAGCAGGCCTGAACACTAAAGAGCCATGGGCTCTTAACAGCAACGAACAAGCAACAGTTTAAACACCTAGGAGGTGAACAGAGGAACGGAGATATATATGTCACAGAATGCTGTAGGGGGCGGACTGCTGGTTGATGTCTGTATTCTATAAGTAAGCTTGCCTAGGCGCCCTTTGCCCTAAGTAGGGACGTCCCGGCGTTCAATACAACAACAACAACAACAACAAATCTGGCTCTCTCTCTTGATTTTCTTTCTCACCTGGTTAACGTGGAAAGAAAGGCGGCAGTAATGGGGAAATATTTAGCTTGGCTAACCTAGCCAACACAATCATCAACCCTAAGCCATATTCGATGCTGTTGGTCATAGAGGGGTCTGCCAAATTGTGGATATCTTGCCGCGAGCGGCAAGCTCGTCGGGCAAGGTTTAATCGTCTGTGTATGATTCATGTTCATTGCTTCGTTGGTCATGCTGTTTATGGGAGGTGGCATGGCATGAGTAGCATGGCGCGAGTAGCATAGGTCCATCGTCAGAACTGAGGTACGAACGTACTTGGTTGGGTACGCAACAGCACAGGAAGGGGACCTTGGGCACCCAGCTCCAGCAGAAATGCTAGGAATCCATCACTGGAGAAGATCGTAGCAGACACAAAGCGGAACCTCTTCTAGGACAAGCTAGATCAATCGGAGAGGCCGGCAGCCGTAACGAACAAAATCTCATACAAGGTATGCCTGCACATGGCCAGACATGGACATGTTATCACTGAGCGCTCGAATGACGTATGATGAGTCCCAAATCAACTTAGCGCTGGGAACGAAGCGTTGGCTGTTTGCAGGTTCCTGGAGCTCATTAGTATAGCAAGCAGGGTGAAGGAATGGGTTAAGGGACTTGACGCCTTCTTAGTACTTTGATCTAGCGAACGACGAGAAGTAATCTTGAACCACCCACCACAGGCTTCAAATGCGGCTATATGAGAGCCTAGTAACTTGATGGACGCTGGAAAAGGAATATCAGTCTGCCTGCTGACCGGTGGTTAGGCGCCGGCCGAAGTGCACTCGTCTCCGTGGAGGAGAGCTGCCGGAAGTGTGTCGTGCTTGCTACAAATTAAGCGGCAGGTTGTTTATCAAGAGGAAAGGCTAATAACATCACATAAGCCTGCCGGTTTGTTCTGCTCAGGCTAGAGGAGGAATAATAAAGCGTGTCTATGTAACATTTGTCGTATCGGCAATCATCAAGCTTGGAGTGAGTGGCAGACAAGGCCTTGGAAAAGGTTTCTGTCATTTACACCAAATTACACTGTAATGGATAGCTTGGAGTTTAAGGGATGCCTCCATCTCTAGATTCTCAAAGGACGTCAGCAGAGCTTGAATTGCTATACGTAGAGTTCAGCTGCACGTGAATGAATGGAAATCTCGGAGTCAGCAACTTTGCAAGGTACAGGGGGTCTTGGTACCTGTCAGGCCTGATTCAAATAGATACCTTTGTGTCACACGTGATATAAGCGTTAGTTATGCTGCCGCAACTAACGGCTTCGTTTTTGCGCAACACTTTGTAATTGACTTTATCAGGCCTGCGTATGAGATTTGCGAAAGCAATCTTCCCACTACGCGTGTCAGTGGTGATTTCATTCAACTACATTTCAATCATTCGACTAACCTATCATAGACAGGGAGAGGAAGTATGTCGGCCGAAACGTGTTACAGAGCAGTTGGATATACATAAATATTACAACACATATAATCAAAAACGGTGCTGCCTTGGACGAATCCAACAACGTTCAAATGCCAAAACCATTGCAGAAGCGATGCACAGGTGTTTGCTGGAGCAACAATAATACAATGACAATGGCAAACGATTGTCAGCTGCCGTCATGACGAACTTGAGTCACTTCACCTCACTTCATCTCTCACCCCACTTCACCTTTCGTATTAATTCACCCCCATCCTGGCCTCATCCCATATTCCCTTTTCTCTTTCTCATACGCCTATGGTCCAGCCTAATCCGTCAGCTCCTCTGTCCCTCAAGCAAAACGATTCCACCACACATCCATTACACCGGCTTAGCCAACACCCGCGTTTCTATGTTCAAAGAGGCACTAATATCCATCCACCCACCAGCTGTCTCATTGGGATTTAAGCTTTCGGACCAAAGTCTCTCTACCTTCCACCACATTGCGCTATGACACGATCACACCTAACAATTAATAAGTCAGGGCTTCTGCTAGGCTTCCTAGTCCACAACTTCCCTTGGTCATCCTGCTGTTGCCAACACTGATGGTCAAACGCACAGAGAACACCAGTGGATAATTAATGTATTGCGCGAGTCTGCGTGTGTAATTAACAACTTCACTTCCTAACACAACCTCCACCCTCATTAAAGGAACTATAGATGCTACGCTGCAGACCTTTTCTTCAATACAGCCCGTTTCAACCCGATAGCGGCCTCAGGCAGGCTGACCCCACCAGTTGATCACGTGACCTATCGGTCTTAACACCCCCCCTCAGCCTCGGCCTCTAGCCAGCAACTTAACAAGAAGGGCAAAAATAACTGCCCAGCCCTTAGGCAGAGAGATTGTGACGTGTATAGCAGAGAGGTCGTTGTAGAGAGTGATGATAGCGAATATCAAGAGCTGGATAGTAGCAGCCACAGTGCTTAATAGACCCTTGTTAGTGCTGGGGCCGGTGATGACCTTGGCAGTTGTAATGGCTTCAACAACAGTGTCAGGGCTCGTGATGACTTCGTTGGCTGCGATGACGTTGTAGCTCGTGATGACTTCAGAGCCATTGATGGCTTCAGAGCTCGTGACGACTTCAACAGTTGTAATGACCTCGGCAGTCGTAATGGCTTCAGAGCTCGTGCTGGCTTCGGAGCTTGCGATGACTTTATCAGTGGTGTCTGAGCTAGTGATGGCTTCAGCGGTAGGGTCAGAGCTGGTGCCGACTTCAGCAGTCGGAATAGCCTTTTCACTTGTAGCACGCTCGGCGGTCTTAATGGCCCCGGCGGTCATGATGGCCTCGGAACCTGTGACGGCCCCAACACCCTGGGGGATCCTGTCGGGTGGTTGCCAGCCATTGTGAAAAGGAAGGTGACTTCTCACATTCGAAGAGTTGACCCGTCGTGATGGGTTGGGATTGCAACTGTGCGACCGTGATGATGGTGAGGGGTGCCGCCCAAGAGTGACCGCCCCTGCAAGCAGCTTACAAGCCCGCAGCTGTCTGCGCCAATCCATCGCATCTGTCCGATCGCGCACCTCGCTCCGTGACCACTCACCATTGTAGTTGAACAAAACGAACAACGATCCTCGATTAAGGAAGACTGCAAAAAACATACAACACCGGGCATTCGCCGGTCGTCACCGACCCGACTACTACTCCAGCCCTCATTGGCTTATCTATGGGGGAGCGGACGGGATCCCGAGTTTTCCAATGGGTATGGTCGTATGTGCCTGCAAAAGGCATTAGAGCCGTATATAAAAGAACCCCTCCGGTAATGCCTAGTCAGTGCCTAGTCAGGGGACGGTCGCTGGAGAGATGCCTTGCCAAAGGCTCAGCCTGCGAACGCGGAGACAGATACGCGGGGCGGTCGAGGCATCGGATGGCTGTGGAGGCTGGACGTGGTGAGTGATGGCGAACGGTCGGCGGGACTCTCTCTATGCCTGACCGTTGGGGTTTCCACGGCCAGGCAACAACAGCACCGCGGCCCCTCCGCCTCCAGATGTCGTGCCGCGGAAGCTCTCTCATGGCCTCCTCCAATGCCTCCTAACGCTGTTCCTGCCGCTCGTGCGCCGCCACCTACTCGATTCCCCGTCACGTCCGGCGTCGCCGCCCCCGAGACCTAGCCGGCGCAGGCGGCCATCCATGGCTGCGTCGATGAGCCGGTGGCGTAGTCGGAGGCTGCGCGTTGCGGCGTCCACGCCATCACCATCACTACCGTTGCTGCTATCGCCGTCGCTGCTGCTGTCGTCGCCATCGCCGTCGCCATCACCACCGCCACCCGCTGCGGCATGCTGTCGAGCCGCCGCATCTTGACTGTTCTTGTTGGCGCCACGGGCACGGACACGGGCACGGAAGCCGTGATTGCTGGACCCACTGGACATCACAGAGTCGCTGGAGATGGCGATGATGCTTGGCTCACTGGGCACACTCGGCACGCTCGGCACGCTCCTTGCTTTTGCAATGACCTGCGCCTCCCGACCTTGGCCACGACGCGAATCATTTCGGAATGCGGGCCATGTCTGAACCACGGGCGCTGTCACGCCATGCCCGCCTCCAGCCGCGTGTTGGTCGCCTTTGTCACTGTCGCTGCCTCGCACAGCGCCGTCGCCTTGATTATCGTCGAGGTCCATGGCGTCCTGAGCACCGTCCTCTTCCTGATCCGCATCCTCTTCCTGGCCCTCCTCCTCTTGCCGACCCTTGAGCACCAAACGAGCGTTGGCGAGGCACGCCTCCACACGCTCGGGTGGCCATTCCCACACATCGAGCGTGTGGTCTGCTCAGCGACGTGGGAACCCTGAGCTCAAACCCAAACGACTTCAGCCAGGCCGCCATCGACCGCAAGTTTCAGGAGACGAAACCCAAGTACACCAGTTGGCTCCAAGATCAACCACAAAACCAACAACGACAACAACAATCGCAGCAGCAGCAGCTCCCATTCCATTTCCCGCCGAGCTTGTCGCGGCCACAGCAGCAGATGTCAGCCTTTGGCCAGCAGCAGCTGTTCTCGGCCCCGTCTCAACAAGACCTGTTCCAGCCCCCGCTTTCGATCCGGCCCAACCAGCAGCCCCAGGCCCAGGCCCAGGCCCTGATCCCATCGACCGACCCCCATAGTTCCGGGGCACTAACCCTCGCCGGCCCAAGGCCGAGAGTCGCAGCCAGCAACGGTTCAGACCTCGCAACATCCTCCGGTGATGACATTCTCAGCGCCGGCGCCAGCGGCCCAGAGCTGGCCCCGATCAAACACCCCCCGTAAGCCGCTTCTAACCCCTTTGCTTTGAGCCGTACTTGAGCAACAAGAAGCTAATCACGTGTTCCTGCCCTCAGACGTCACCTCCTTCATGGCCAACTACGAGCCCGCCGCGACGCCGAACGCCGATCGAAGCCAGCTCCTGGCAGAGAACAGCGCCATGATCGAGTCAGCCAGCATGGCGTGTAAGCGGTTGGCGCACCAGATGGTCGGCACGGAAGCGATGTTTCGACGGCTGGTGATCGAGCGGCGCCATCTCATGCACAAGGGCTTGTTGGCGGAGGAAGAGGAGGAGGATACTGCGGCGCTGTTTGCGTCGCCCACCGCAGGCCGGGGTCCTACTTGAAGTACCATCAGTTGCTTTTGTATACTCCGACACTTCTTACCCTATTCTTTAGTACCATTTACTACAACTTGCTACGGAGCACAGCGATCAATGTGCTGGACCGTGCCGAGCTACACTGGCTGATCGCAGCGAGGTCGGAACACGGAGACTTCGCTGCCTATCACGAGAAATTCAACCACGAAGACGCAGAGCTCCGGTGCACGTGCAACGGATACAAGACCCCAGCCCACCCACTTTGGTGCCGCAAAACACGACGGCTACACAATGCCCCCTGGCTTAACAGGGGTCAGTGGTTCGCGAAGCAAATGACCAAGGACTTTAAGAGCTTTACTACTGTTGTCTGAGATAACGACTTCTTTAACAAGATATGTCTGAGGTATTACCTAAGGATGTAAACGACAAGATGTACCCACAGTGTCACCTAACGTCGCCATGGTGCTTTGGGACCCCTGGACGTATAGCAGCCGAGGCTGCCACTGCGGGCGTTTATCAAGCAATCTCTCGGCACGGCAGGCTAGGCTTTGTAGCGGGCTGGTGTTTATTCTAGCATAACACCACTAAAAGTGACACCGCTAAGGCTATTACGGCTAGGACGGTGGCGTCTTGTGCACCTCTAACCTCCACCCCCTCACATATCACACACTCACATATCACACATTCACATAAGCAAAGACACAACCCAGGCCACGCAAAATCACGCAGGCTTAACTACACGGTACGGGATATCACTCAGCTCCCTAGCAAGCAGGGAGGTACTTCCTAGCGACATAGATGTGCTAATAGCACTGTACAACTAACAACACGGATACCCCCTAACCTAGTAGGACTAGGAAAGGGGGCACATATCGGTTCTGGACGCTGAAGAGCCTAGGGCGGCTGACAGCAGTGAAGAAAACTCGGGATGACCTCCTGGAAGGTTTAGCAGATAACGACGTTAGATATGGAAGAAGACGGCAGAGGCGCTGGCAGGCGGCAAATTCGGAATCAGATGTATATAACTAGTTAGAAACTGGCTGCCCCAAGCGCCTTTTGCCCTTACAGGAACGGCCCGGCGTTAAATATAACAACAACAACAACAACAACAACAACAACTTGCTACGGAGTGGTAGGCAATGAAGTCCCCGATGTCCCCTAAGACGCCATCAACAACCTCGGTATCTTGTTTAACCTGCCAAAAGGTTACCAGCTGTTTTTTACTGATCTAATTTCCTGCTAGACTTCTGGTTCCTCGAGAGTTTCGCCGATATATCCCATCAGCCCAGTCAGCGACAGAACAGGTGATTCTCAGACAGATATAACTATAAGTAGTTTTAAACGCTAGCATAGCTTATCAGCTTTAAGTATAACATGTTGTCTTGCAAGCTAGCTTCTGTCCATAATAACGCAGATTCTGATTCTAGGCCAAGTACCAAGGCAATTAGAGAATCCTGCGGCTTTAATACCCAGATAACTACTCTAACCTAAGGTTGTCACTAACCTTCTGTGAGCTCAATGGTAGTTAAACGCCGCGGTCTTTCTACAGGTGAAATTACCTCATTTTCTGGTGCCAGAAGCACTGCGAGCTAACTTTCTTCTTGAATAAAGCTATTGGAATCACTTGATATCTTTGTTCTAAGCTTTCCAATGCTCTTTCCCGACCGTTAAGAGCGCATAATACTCATTCTCGGAAAACTTGATCAGAATAATCTTATTATCTACCATCTTCAGGGAGAGCTCAAGGAGGAGACGATGCATCGTCAGAGAGCCAAGAAGCTTCTATAAGATGTTCGGCGTAGCGATTAGGCACACGGACATTGTACTAGGTCACTTTGTGGCCTATCCAAAAGGCTCAGTGACTCGAAAGATGGCGAAGCATGATTCTATTGGCTTTCTTACAATTAAATAGCACATAGTCAATATTCATCAGCTACTGTGTCGCTGACTGCTATGGGAATGCTTATTTCACCTACACATAAAATGCTTAGTAAAAACAACAGTAATGATGGAGTATGTTAATATCTCTATTCGTGCTCAACGGAGTAGTTAAGTTGCGCATCTCTTAAAACTTCTACAATCTGTGCTAATTCATACAGGGCTGGCACGCGAAGCCCTTTTTTGAACCGCCGTACTCACGCCCTGCTCTCCTAACCCATATCTTCAAGATCCCGGCCCGCTGAAACAGCTGTCGGCTGGGCTGGGTGGTTCTTGAATTTGGCTGCCCTGGGGGCCCCGGCCTTCTTGCAGCCTTCTTCTTGAATATGGCCTTGAGCTTGAGCTTGGGGTTGTCTAAGACGTCGACAGCTATGTAGAGGGAGGACTGCATTAGTATCTCTGGCATTTGGAATCATTTCTAGGTAAGTCTTTTGTTGTGAAGCTGGAACAGCTTCGTGTGGCTAATGCCAGTGGCGACCGCTACAGATGTGGTGTATCACCCGAACTGGACCTACTTGAGAAAGGTATTTCTACCCATTCCCCGGTCCATACATAGTTTGGGGGGGGGGGGTCGTGATGCCATATTAGTCACAATTACTGCCTTGTAATTGTGGTTCCACTTTTACTCCTATTCATCACAGCCTTTGAATTTGGCTCTGTCTGTGGAAGGTCTGGCCATACACAACCTCTTTCGACTTATCAACATGTTCTATTCTTGTGATATCAACTCGTTCATCACCCATCCTTTGCACACCTCGGATACCGTCTCCTCAAAGTCCTTTACCAGCTGAACCACCCGCTTCTCCCACCGGACTATATCCTCACCCGTCGCCTGGCGCCCCTTTGTCTCTCCATCTGTCGCCAGCTCCAGGGAGCCCTTGAGCAGTCTGGCCATGCGCGGCACCGCCTTGCGTCGTAAATCTCCCCTCAGGATGAGCAGCTGCTCCGTCTCGATCTCAGTTACGTGGCACGCGACTCTTGCTATGGCCCCGCGAGGCGCCTGCACCTCCAGCGCTCTTTGAACCGTCTTCTCCTGATCAGGGCTCCCCCTCCCCCTGATGTATCGCAGCTCCTGACGCAACGTCTTTTCCTCCTTGTGGAGCTTGCGGCTCCAGTCGCATGTCGCCTTTATAGGTTTGAACGTCCGTTCGATTGCGCCAGCTGCCAGGCTGGATTCAAGTGCGCTTAAGGTCTGTGAGGCGTCTTCAAACACAAGGACGAGGCGTGAGATGCGGCCTTGGGTGGTGGCTGCGGGGGTGTTGAAGACGCTCCACCAGCGCACGCGGTCGGCAGGATACGTCTGGATGTCCTGCGCGATGCTGCTTGCATCGCGCTGAGCGCTGGTCACGCTTTCTAAGATTCCGCGGAGTGAAGATTCGAACTTGGCGATGCGGATGGCATCCGAAGGCCCCGGGGGCGCGTGTCCCGCGCCATGAGCAGCCCAGGCGGCCATCTGGGTCAGGGACTCGCTATACCGCGGGAGAGTCGGCGTGCGCGAGACTTGGAGGAGCACGCCGCGGGCAGAGGCCGCAGGTCGTCGCGTGCAGACCGTTGAGAAGGCTAACGAGGTCAACATGGATGCCAGGAAGAAGGACGGGGGGTTGCTGAGGAGGCCGTCGCAGGTCGCTTCGCCAATGGAGATGATGGTGTAGACGACGATGCAGCCGGCGATGAGAATCCAGAGGATACGCCGTCGGACGCGGAAACACAGCGATAGTAACAGCAGATGGCGAACCCAGGCAAAGATCGATATCAGAAGCCAGGAAACGCCATACACCTTGGCCCAGATTGACGCCGCCTCCTCCTCGTCTCTCGATACCTTCTTATCCCTGTTTGCGTTTGCCTTGTTGTCTCTCGCATCCCTCGGCCCCTCCCGTCGACGGCTCTTCGCTGCCGCCTCTTGCTGCAGCTTGCGCTGTCGAGCCCGTTCCTTTCCAGCAGCATATATTGGGTCAGTCCTGTCCATTTTTGCTTATCACGCCTCGTCCTCGGAGTGTGTGAATATGGATGGCCACGAGTCGGCGCAATGTATCCTCAAGGCAGCTTTCCTATCCCGAGCTCTACCCAGGGCAGGCTCAAAGACGTGATCGTAGACGGTCCTAGTATGGGAGTCAAGGAGAACGTCTGTGACCAGCACGTTGATGGCAGTAGCGTCCGACCAGTCTCCGGGCTTGGACGAAATATGCTTGATGATTGTGCTCTCAAGGGCAAGATATATGTCGTGAGCAGAGCAGGGAACCTTGTTCGGCAGGGCGCAGTGTGTAAGGGATAGGTATTCGTATAGAGTAGGAGGGTTCGCAGTGAGGGTGTAGGAGAGGAGTCGGTTGTAGGCAGTGCAGATCCGTATGATAGTGTCAGATGCTAGATTGGTTGGTTTTGAAGGTCTTAGCCGTTGTTACAAAAAGCATACTTCTTTCCACAGAAACCCTCCGAGTTTGAGAATGTCTGCGGGATCCATCATTACCTGTATAGGTTGTTGCGGACACAACAGGCCTTGGGATGTTGGCAGAGGAGGGGATTCGGTAGGCGTAGGTGTACAGGAAAGAGGCCAGTATAGCGACAATGGCAGCGATGACTAGACGACGGTGAACCATAGCTATGGTGAATGGATGGATAGACATTGAGGATTGGATGGATGCAAGAGGTGAGGAGATGGGCGAATGGTTGGATTGATAAATGAATGCTTACAAGCCAAGAAAGATGACATGGATGACTCTCATCTTGGTTCATGATGGGACGAGAGAGACGAAAGCGACGAGACAGAAAGAAAACATGGAAGAACAAACAAACGGTTCTGACCAGGGGAGCTGCCGCCTCCTTGTCCGTCCGTGTCCCGTAACTCCATTTCGAGACGGCCCTGGATGGCGTCCCGTCCCTTTGTTGAGCTTCCTTGTTTGCTTCATGATTCATCTCAATCTCATCACCAACTTCAGGGTGTTTCCAACGGGTTCCTGTTGCTACGGCAAAAGCCAGATGAGTCAAAAGGACAATAGCCTTTCAGCCGTGATAGAACGGTCATGGTTTCCATGCCTCCTCTCTCAGCCTTTTTGCAAACCTCTTACTCGCCATTTTTCATCATCATCACAGATGCGTCACGTCCTTGCGCCGAATACCCGCGTCCATCTCTGCGACCCAGCTACGCCTCCGGAGCCATCATCAAGCTGGCCCAGCGCGCCGCCGCAGAGCACGTTTCACGTCCGGGAATCATCTACAAAGGCACGGCGTCGTGGCAACATGACCGACTGGCATCTCCGCTCGCGCCAGCTCATGCGCTTCGTGGCGGCAAAAGACCCGCCACAGCCAAACGCCAAGGACTACATCACCGACGAGCACAAGCAGCGGGCTCGGTTCCTAGAGCCGCAATACGACCCCAACAATCAGGCGAATGGTGATGATGCCGAGGATGAAGAGAAGTGGCCGCCGGGCTGGGAGAAACCCGATGGCAAATCCATCAAGGCGTTTTTGGCCTGTCAACCGTGGAAAAAGGCCACAGAGGTAAGTGAACTTTTCTTTTCTGTGTGAACCAAAACCAAGAACTGCACGATGGCTAACGTGCGGGGGGTTCCGCCATATCAGAAGTATCTTCAGTCCATGGGTCCACAGGCAAAGAAGGACCATCAATCCAATGAGTCCCAGCAGGCCAATTGGAGGAAACTTGAAAAGAGCCCGCGGGTGGACGAGAGACACGATCATGATCAGCAGGTCACAGGCGAGATTGAGAACGGCGGTCAACAGGCGACGGCGGGCGAAGACCATGCCGAGACTCAGAGAGATGAAGGGCGTGAGAAGAGTGCACAATCTGGCGGTTCCGGACTATCCCTAATGGAAATGGGGGGGCTGGCATCCTCGCTCCCGTCAGTGCCACAAACGGAACCCGTCAGCGTGTCCACAGATCATCATCACGTTGCCAGCCAACTTACAGCGAGCCGAAACCCACCACCGGTACAACAACAACAACAACAACAACAACAACAGGAAAGAGATGGACCTGCTGCTGCGTCCCCGTCTCATCATCGTGAGGATTCCAGCTCCAGGAACAGGGGCGGCGATGCAGGCAGCCGTCAAGCCCGTGCCCGCGACATGCCCACGGAAGCGACGATTGGTATCAGCCGGTTTTCACCGCAGGATTATCAGCTGTTTCGAGATTGGGTGGCTCGAGAGGAGAGAAAGAAAGCCAGAGAAGCGGATGGAACTGTCCGGGGCTCACCGCGCCGCTGAGATGTCGTGTGTATCATCCCCCTCAGACACGACTTGTTATCAAACCCTACCTAGTTATTTGTAATTGTATCCGTAGTTTTCGTGTTTCTCATTCACCAATATCCCGGATCCCGACGGCTTGCTTCCCGTCCGTCATCTCGCGTAATGAGTTGACTTTCTTTCCTTTCATCCTTGCCTTGCCTTGTCTCTCTCTCTCTCTCTCTCTTTCTCCCTATCTTCATTTCTCAACGGTCCAACTTCCGTCACATCCGGAATCGACACATGTCGTTCGTTTGTCTTGCTATTCCTCCCAATTCCACCATACCGCGCGTCCCAGCCAGCCGCTTCCCTTGCTTATCATTTCCCGACAGACGGTCCACAGACCGCAGGCCGCAATGTGCTCATCCAACACACAAGATGTCCGTGTTTGCTCCACTTCCCTTCATCCCTCAAGAAAAACCAAAAACCGACGTGCTGACGGAGAGGAAATAACCAATGACAGCAAGCATGTGGCCAAGCCATCGTGAGGCTGAAGACGAACAACAGGCGACACGTTTGGGGCCAGCAATGTGGGCTTGCCATGTACCAGCACCTCATCAGGCACAAGCTGTCCCCCCCTCTGTGCGAGACGCGGGCCATCGAGGAGCTCGAACGTGCGCTATACCTTGTGCGTCCGAACGGGGAGCGCTGGAGCGACGAGTTTGACCGGCTGATGAGGCCGCGGGTCGTCAACGCGCTTAGGTGGCGGTACAACAAACTCGGACGAGAGAATGTTTGGTCCATCAAAGACGACCAGGTTGTGTACACGGCATGGAGCAGGGCGTTTCTGAGCAAGGCGTGGGACGGTGTGTGCTTTAGTCGAGCGTACGCAGAGACGCTGTTGAAGGGCGGCGACGACGACGATAACGACGATGAAGATGACGATGACGACAACGATGACGATAAATGTAATGATAAAGGTGGTCAAGAAAAGCTGGTGGTGAGAGATGAAGATGAGGAGACAGTGAGGCCGGAGGATTCGATATCAAACATTGCGATGCGTCGACTGCCAGCGATTCCAGAGCATGAGCCTGGCTCTTTGGAGGACCCGTCGTTTGAAGAGATGCGCCGGCTGATGCTGCGCGGAGCGGGAAACCTCATCGACTTCAAGTGGCTCATCACTTTCCAGCAACACGGCGTCCCGGTGGCAGGAGACACGGCGACAAGGAGGGAGGCAGAGGAGCTGCGCGAGCGCTGCCTGGAGGAGCTCAAGGTGTTGGAACGGGCTTTAGACCGCGCGGCAGCGAGGCGAGCAGGGATCCGTCAGGGTGATATATCGTCACCCGTGATGGGAGGGATCTGGGGCCAACTGCTGGGAGGACTGGGCTGAGATGGGCGTGTCTGATTGTTGTCACCGTCGTGTATCGGGTAGGAGGATATGTATGTTCCTGTCTCATTTCCCGGGGACGAGGATGGAAGGTTGGGGTTTGTCTCAGAGATTGGAACTGGGACTGACTGTGCTTTTATAAAACGAGCGGTTCGTCTCTCGATGAGTCGGTGGTGGCAACAGGTATTGACAACCCGGCAAGTTTTGTGTTTTGTCCATGATTTGTGTACGAAGACGACCAAAATCAAACAGCCTGACATACTCATAATCATCACTATCATCACCATCACCATCGATAGGACCCCAACTGGCCGAGCTTTGGCATCAAGGTCAACATCATGTCGCATTCGTTACCCGCGACCTCGGATTCGTCAAGCGTGCTTGGCCGTTACCTGGAGGAGCAGCGGGCCAACGGGGAGAGTATAACGCCCGATGAGATGCACTTTCTCCAGAGCAGGCAAGCAAAGCGCAGTCCCAAACCCGCCGAGCTGTTGGCCAACAAAAGCGTCAACAACAACAACAGCAGCAGCAGCAGCAGCAGCACAAGCTACGGCGGGAACAATGACAAGTCGGAGCTGAGCACGCGCATCATGCGTTCCGGCCTCACCAGGGTCGGACAGCTGGTGCGTACGGAGCGACAGAACTTGCTACCGGACGACGTTCGTTTCTTGGAAGAGAAGATGCGCGACCAGCGCTACCAGGCGTTGTGGCAGCGCCAGGGGCAGCAGCAGGAACAGCATCAACATCAACGCCCTCAACAGCAACACCACGGGTTCGGTTCGGTCGACGAGGTGACGGCCGAGTTGCGCAAGGTCATTGATCACCAGAAGACACACCTGCTCGCGGCGGTAGATTGCGAGGCGCGCATCAAGGAGCTGTGGTGGTATCGGCACGCGTTGGAGGAGGAGAAGAAGGGCGGCGACAAGGACAAGGGCAAACGGTGCGAGTGAATCAGGTGGCGATGCATTCATCAATTTGTGTGTGTAACCAGATGAGATGCCGATCTAGATATCCATACTCCACACTGCGCATGATAAGGAATGACAGGTCACATGACCTTTCAGGTGATCGCGCACAGGATGTGGCTTGTACAATGCGCCACACTGACATGACATTATGTATAGCGGTCATTACGTCATCCCGGGCCGCGAAATGTCAATTCGATTTGTTGTTGTTTGCTTTGCTGCCCGCCTCCCTCATTTCGATCGTCATGTTGATTTCTTGGTGTTTTCATTCAGCTGTTTGTTTGTTTGCTTGCAGCCGTCGTACCCTCCCTCCCTCGCTTGCCTGAACCGCCTCGGGTCGGCTCCCTGCAATGTCGTTCCTCCTGCCAGGTTGGCGTTATCGCCAATCCCAAAAGCTCCTCAACATGTCTCCCGTTCCACCCGTTTGAACACATCTTCATCGCGATGCCGCCTATCACCCGCAGCCAGGCCAGCAGCCTCTCGTCGCCATCAGCATCGTCATCATCGTCATCATTATCATCGCCACCTCACAGCCAAATCCATCATGGCCGGAGCACCCACGCCAGCAACGACGCCAGCAACGACGCCGACGTCGACTACACCCTCGTGCCCCACGCAACCCAGCTCAACCTTCCGCTTGTCCTTCCACCACCCGTCGGCCGCCAGCTGCTCTCTCTCTGCTTCCACTCGTCGTGGCGCGCCCGCCGCCGTCTGCGCATCCACTTCGTCAGCACCGACCTTCTTCTCGATGACGCCCCCGACTCGCCCGACATCTCAGACCCCGAATCCGACCCCGAATCCGACCCGGAACACTGTCATGATTTCCTCACCGTTGTGAACTACGACCCCATCGCCGTCCACTCGCCCTCGCCCTCGCCCCCGCCCTCCACCGCCTCCCCGCCTGCTGCTGCTCTGTTCCCCCCCATCCTCCTTCTCACCCTTGCCACCCTCGTCCTTCTCGCCGTTGATTCCTTCGCCTCCATCCGACCCTACACTTGCCCTCTGCTGCGCAACCGCCGTCAATGCCCCATGCCATTCTCGACGGATTCATCAGCCTCCAACCGTTATTGTACCATCACAGCATCAAGAACGGCGGCGGCAGCAGCAGCAGCAGCAACAACATGGTCAACATCATCATCAACCACCATCACCCTTCGCAACCTCACCGCTGTCGTCCTTCCCTACGCGCAACTCGTTCGCCTCCTCGACCGTCCAAACGCCGTGCTCCCTGCGGTCCAGCGCGAGTTCTCCGAACTCTGTCTCACCGCCTGGGCCCTACCTCATATCGAGTCCGAGCCGTGCTATCGGATCGTCGACCTCCTCGACAAGGCCAACATGCACTTGTCGCGGCTGCTCGTGGGCATGCACACACGAGGCCCCGGGAATCCAGTCTCTGCCCTAAAAGACACCATCGTCCTCATGGCCTATGGCGTCTACCAGCGGCGGCAGCAGCAGCAGCAGCAGCAGCAAGACCACTTCAACGGTGATGCTGACCATGACACAAACGGCGACGGTGGTGGCGGTGTTTGGAACAGGACAGCCGAGGGCGTCTTCCACGCCGTCATTTCCCAGGTGCCCAACTGGTGGGACGACCACAACGCGCTCGCTGTGCCCTTGCGAACCGTGTTGGAATCGCTTCGCGAGGCGCGCAGTCTCGAGGACGGCGTGAGCACTGTGTTCAAGTCGGCCATTAGCAATGCGGATCCCAAAACATTGTGAGTTGTGGCGTCGTCCGTCCGTCTGTTTGGTTGCACGACTAATGACGGGATTTGTACCACCAGCCCTGGCGAGGACGTGCTTTACGCACTTGACCATCTCTTCGACCCCCTCCTTGCACGTCGCGATACTCTCCTCCATACTCTAGAATCTGCTGTAGGACGCCTTGACGAGGCTGCACAGCAGATGCACACGTTCAATTCAACGCTATACGAGCTGCGCGGGGAGGCCCTGGCAGGGAAGAAGCCACGGAGGTTTGAGGACTTTGACGCGCTGCTGTCGAGGCTGTCGAACGCCGTCCGAGTCTTGGGCCACGCAATGGAAGCGGTAGAGGTTAGGGAGAGGCGGGATACAAGGCGGTTGGAGGAAGAGAGGGCCGCGCTGGAGGCCGTAGAGGAGTCAAGGCCGCGGCACCGAAGGGTGAGGGAACGGGCCAGTGTGCGTGAGCGCCAGCAGCCGCGATGGCTCTGGTGGTGACGTACATAGGCTTCCCTTTGGAATGCTGGCTGGGCATGTCGGTGAAGGGAGATGGCCCATTCGGGTGGGTTGACGACAAACGGAGGCCGGGTCATTCATCAGCAGCCTAGCGCACCACACCTGTGGAGTCCTTCTAGCGCACGTGACGCGTAAAGACCAAAATGGTCTTTACGCCCCACTGAATTAGGTAGGGACGAAACTCCAAACCACTGGGGAAGCAGGAGAAGTACTGTGTACATGCCACCTAAGAAATCCGTCCGATAAATGCATGCGACATTCCAGCCCCGCCTTCGACCATTCGGGTGCAGCCGGGCCGACCGATTGCCCCACGCTCAAGGTGGTCCAAGGTACTGGGTACTCCGTACGCCGTACAGGTATTAGGTACAAGCTACTACGTAGTGCCTGTGCTATTGAATACTTCTGGGTGGGGCTGGTTATGTGATCCCAGAAACGCATGCACCTGGCAGCAATCGTTGCCTGCTGTGTCACCTGCTGTACGGAGTACTCCGTACGTACATACGTACATACGTACTCCAACACCTGCCACTACCTGCCGGCAAGTCGCCGTCCCTGGGCCGACCCAAGCAAGTCCTTCATCTGCGACATCGTGGACGCGAACATGAACATGAACATGAACATGGAGGCCTTGGGAATTGAATCTGCAGGTATCCGTCTGACCGCGACCGCGTCTTGGCCCTTGGGCTCCTTGGGCGGAATACCTGCCGGTGTGTCACCATACATAGTAGATAGGCTCGCCATGCCATGCCATCCACCCATGGCCTGAGGCTGTTCGGCGACCGCCAAATTCACACGGCCATGAGACGCCACCCTCTCTATACCTAAGGGAAGAGAGGCATAGGCCTTCTACTGCCACATGGCACTGACGACGGTGTGCCTGTTCTCGCCCAGGCGCAAGAGGGGTTCTAGTAGGTAGACCCGGCAGCAAAGGCCACCAGTTCTACCATCATATCATGAGCTGGATCTCCCGTTTCCGCATTAGCGGACGGAGCTCGAATCGGGACAGAAACACAGGCGGCCTTGGAGTTCCGCATTGGCGGACCTCGACTCGGCTCGGCACAGAATTCTTCGTGCCCTTCTTGTAAAAACAGGATGGACGAGACCGGTGTGACAGACAACTGGGCCAAAGCAAAGGCTCCCGACTCCATCATCTGTGTTGTGCTGCTCTGCTCTGCTCTGCTCTGTTGGGTAAACAGACAAAAAACGCCACAGGAACGACCGCATGGGCGGTACTGGATAGGTAGATGGACGGATGGATGGATGGCCATCCTGCTGCGTAAGGACGCAGAATGAAGTAGGGGGGAAGATGAGGAAGCAATCCGGCCCAAGTGCAAGTGGGATGAGTGTCTGGTTTTAATGCAGAAAAGGGCCCCTGGTTCACCGCCTGAGGAAGAGAAAGTCATTTGATTCCAACATCCTCCATTCATCCATGGACCATCCATCCTGCCTGCGCCAGGATGTCCATGTCTCTCGTCTGGCGTGTACGGCGAGTGTGTGTTTGTGTGTGTGCGTACGTACGTACCTCCGGTATATCAATATTCCTTCGTGTGGCTCCACCCAAGCGCAGATGGCCAACGTCAAGAACTACACTCCACAGCGGATGCCGACCATCACCACCTCTCCAACCGACTTCTGACGTCGCCATCCGCCCACCGCGAACCAGTTCGCCGCTTCCCTACAGGCCAAATCGTTCATGCATCATGGCCTATCGCATCATCGGCCTGCAGGAGATCGCAGCTTCATCGCCGCCAATGCCCGTCCGTCTCATCGCCAGCTTGCATCCAATTTTCGGCAATCAGCAGCTGGTAGCGCCGACATCGGCCTGACCGCAATGGCGGCAAACGCTGTGCAAAGGTGCCTTCCATCAGATGGATGGATTGCAGCTACTTGCTTGACGTCCAAAACATAAGTAGGATCCAAACCAACCTATCTATCGCGTCCTCTGCTCTCGTCAATCCATCTTCCTACTTCTTTCCTGTGACGACAACAACGACGACAGTACAACGGTACTTCATGAGTTACAATGTGCCTTAACAACAGCTCCCTTGTGCGTTGCAACCCCCCCCCCCCCTTTTCCCTTCCTCTCGGTCTCCTCGCTAGCTAACGTCATTGAAACCAGAAACTATGTGGCGACTCCATCTCCTACTACGCCTCCAAGCCCAAGAAGCAACGCGGCTTCCGCTGGTGCGTTCGCACTCGAGCCACCATCCTCTTCCAACTTTATTGCCGCCGCCATCTCCCCTCCGATGCCGATCAGAACCCATTCAAGAACGAGCTGATACCCTGCCTTCGTGTCAAGTGTAACATCCTCGCCCACGAACCGGCTTGGGCATTTGTTGTTCCGTACTTTGACAGTCTTGTGCGCCACTACGCGACAAAATGGGTCACTGAGGCCCGCAATGGGTCGCTTGTCACTTGGTGCCAGGTCTCGGGCTGGCAATGGGACGAGAACAAGACGTCCGGCTGGGTCGGTGTTGATGCAGTTGAGGCGTGGATGCGCCGGGAGCTGAGGAAGACGGATTGGTGGCAAAGAGGTAGGGCCCATGACAAACGGCTTGGTTTGCTTGTCTAATAACGACCGTTACGCGAGCAGCACCACAATCCGCTGGACAACCCGACGAGGCCCTCGTGAACCGACTAAGCACTCTGTCTTTGGAGACAGGACAGCTTCGTCAAATCAACGAGACAATAGAACTGTCCGAGCCCGACATTACGTACGTTCCAGCTCACCCCCTCCTCTGCTCCACTCCATCGTGATTTGACATTGACCAATCTTTGAAAAGCTCACGCCCTCGACAGCACCCTCGACCGATCCCACCCGCCCGAGGCTCCATCCGTCCCCGTCGACAACACGCCTTGCGTGCCGGGCAACACCGGGTGGGCAAGCCTGGAGGACGATATGGCGTTCAATCCTTGGGCCGCCGAAGACCCGATCAAACCCCTGCCACCGAAGACATACTCGGTCTGTTTGATCCCGGCGCCGGCGGCTTCGACATGCAACGCTGGTCTGCGACCGGTGCCGCCATCGCCATCGCCGCTGTCACCGCCGCCGCCGCCGCCCCCTCCTCCCGCCCCACCATCCGTCCCATGCACAGACCCCTCCGGCCGCAACACTCGGCTCGCAACCCCACCAGCCAGTCTCGTGGGCAACAGCACCGTCGTGTCCGATCCCGCGACCACGGTGTTCAGACCGCAACGCCAGCACAACGAGGCGCCGACTATCATTAACAACAGCACCATTGTGCCTCCGCCGCCAACAACTATCCTTCTGCCATATGAGAAGCACCCAAAAGATGCCTTTATGCAGGCCCTGGAGTTGCAACGCCTAGCACAAAGGATCATGGTTGAGTCTGAGATCACAATGAAGGAGTACGGTTTGTTTGGGCCCTCTGAGAATCTGTAGTTGGTTGCAGTGATGGATGTAGGAAAATAAAGCGCTTGTTTCCCCTGCTTCCCCTGTTTCTCTAGTTATTCTTCTATTCTGCTGGACTACTGTTTTGCCGAACTGCTGTTTCTCCTGTTTATTCTGTTTGGACTGTTCTACTGTACTACCGTGATACTGTTCTACCGTACTACCGTACTACCGTACTACTGTACTGCTGTACTGCTGTACTGCACGCCGTTGCAGGTACGAACCAACATACGAACCAACTTTCTGGTTCGCCACGCACATGTACGCACCACACACCTGAGGAACCAAAATACGAACCATTTTCTGGTACACTGGCAAGCCAGAAAGAACCAAGAAGCTAGTTCCCAAAACTTGATTCCCATTGTCAATTTACCTGAGGAACTAAGATTGGGAACCAACATCCGGTCACCTGACACCTAGAGATGCATGCACCGGTGAATGTCCGGCCGACGTTGATGAACAAAACAACAGTGCTATTGAATTATTAAAGATGCCATGGGATGCGTCGTTCATGTTGGTTGGCGGTGAAGCCGCAGACTGCCTGCCGTGGTTCATGCAATCTCGGGATGAACAGGCGGGATGAAATGTTGTTGGTTAGTGGGGGTTATGCTTAATTAATCAGCTGCAGAAACGTACCGGTACTACAGATGTGGTACATTTTGGCCTTGTTGTCGTCTGGTCTGGTGATGATGAATATGGATGGCACGCACAGTCGGGTCGAGTTCATCAAACATGGTTTTTCTTTCACATCACCAGGCGGCAGAAGGTTTCAAGGACACGTCTCTCCGCATGCTTGAGGCAGCCAGAGTCACGGCGCTCCTGCGAGTTTTGTTTGTTGCGCGCCTTACCAGCCTACTTCTGCTCGCTGCGTGCGAGGAGATGACGCCAGTGATGGCCACCGTCACAGTGAAATTGGGGGGGGGGGGGGGGGGGGGGTGAATCACGTGCCATCACGCGAGTCTCCTCCTCCCGCCGCAAGCCCCCGTATGCCAACAGCTACACTGAGATGGTGACGGGTGTGGCAGAAGCGCATTTGCGACATGGGGGTGCTCCTTGACAAAATCACATCAAGCCTGGGCTAAATAGACATAGACTTACCGTGTTCCGCTTCTCTCAGCCGCTGCGCTGCCACATTGGCCTTGTTCCTTGGGGAAGTGAAAGGTCGTAATTGTCGAAAGAGTACGTGTCTTGAGAGCTTCCTGCGTAACCCATCATGCCTTGAAGTCTGATCTGTTGCACATTCGCCGACAGACAGTAGAACGTCGGTAATAGTGTGTGGTATTGTTTGGGTGTGTGTGCAGTGGGCTTCGGTTCGGTGTTGGACGGGAATGTGACGATGATCGAGGCCCCTGCAGAAAGGGTCTGATAGGTTAGTATGTAGAAAGACTGTGCAGAGGGGAATTGAAGGGCGGGGAATGAATCAACTAATCTGCCATGCGGTCATGATAGCATATTGGGCAGACACGTCACTTGCGTCTGCGGAGATGGGCGTGCAAGTCTTGGATTCCAACGAGGAGAGGAGACGAAGCGCGGATGGCGTGGGGGAGTGACTTTCTTGGCTAGCAATTAATGAAGATTAAGGGCAAGGAACAAGAGTTGTCGATTGGCAGGCGACAAGCGACCGTGGTTTGTGGTGCTATTCCAACGGGTGTGGTGCGGGTGCGGGTGTGGGTGTTGTTGTTGCGACCGAAGCGGTTGGTGATGGATTTGGGATACCTCGGGAGTTGCCTTACACTTTCTCATATCACCACACTTGATGCCCCGTGCCTAGCCCAATGCCTGACCGACATCTTCCCATGATGTGGCTAGGTGTGGCAAGGCAGTTTACATCTAGGCTTACATAGGCTCGGCCACTCTCACGCGCCCAGCTGTTAGCTTAGGCTGATTTGGCTCCAATAAACCCAGCTCGTGGTTTCTTTCAGCACAACAGCACCGCTTATCAATTAGCAGACGTCGGGCCAAGGCCGTGCGAGGGGGCTGATAGGACGATGTGATGTGGCACCAATGGGACTAAGACGATGTCGCGCAAGGGGCTAGATATTCCCTCCTCCTCCCTCACTTCAAACCAGCCTCCTGAATAAATACCACAAGACGCTGAGACTCAGCGCGTGACAAGAGCACAAATACACACACACAAGCAGAGAGGAAACGGCGCAATCGCGAACATATGATGCCTTCCAGAAGCATGAGTTGCCCTGCCCTCACAACGTAATTCTCCATTACCCCGATCCCCAGAGGACAGGTTTTCAAGCTGCCAGGCCGGCAGGCCATCCATTCCACGCAACCAAAGCTGTTCACCTCGCCAAACCGCATCCTTGAACGTGCAAATAACTGAGCTGATTGACAGAATCAACAAAACCCTGACCCTGACCCTTGACACCTTATTACAGCCGACACAGCAGCAATATCGGAACGAACTAGCGCTTCGCGCGCCGACCTCTAGAACAAAGAGCTGTCTTTCTGTCCCACGCAGCACAACCTTAAAGATGCTAATGCTTTGTTGCGCCCTACCTACACTATGCTTGGGTGCCTCTGAAGGGTTTCATACTTTGTGCTGGAGCAGTCCACACTAGGTGTCGGCCCCACAAACATCCCCCATGAACGCACGAGTGCTTTAGGAGCAACAGCAGCCAATAAGTATCTCGTACTCTGCAGCAGCCTCATTCTAGACCCGTCATTGTCTCCAACTTGGAACACAATATATGCATCTAAAATCCTCTTCTTGTGGTTAATCTCATTTCGGCGCTAGTAATAGCACAGGACACTTTTTGAACCATGGTCTTGATATCAACAAGTCAATGCTTGCTTCAATAGATCTACAAAGACGTACTTCTTAATGGTTGTGCACGTTGGTAAAGCGGCAGAAATATCCGAGAAAGAAATGGCCTAGACGCCGCCGAGTTGCGTGGCAATCCGGAGTTCGTTTCTCGCCAAGTTCACTGGCGTCTGCGCTTGTTCTATCAAGTGCTCGGTCTGCCATTTCACCGCCCGCTGATAGGGGCCATGATAGCCTCCGCCAAGGACGCCAGAGCACCAGGTCCATGCTGTGCTCTGCGCGTGTGGGATATCCCTGTATGCCCCAGGATGCTTAGGTAAGCCTTGGCTTATGCTAGCATGCTCTCTGAAGGCACGTGGTTGAAAAGGTACACCACTCCCCTCCCTTCTCGGCTAGTACATGATTAGCTAAGCCGCATTATGTATGGTTTAACCGCACCTTCTCCGACAGGTCGCAACATTCGGGAAACCCCAACGTCACCAACTTCGACCCAACACCATACCGCGGCCCGCGGCCGACATGAGTTCCGCGCCCATCTGCCTTCACCGCCCCCCCCCGCGATTCCTCCTGCAACGTACAATAGCGACAACAAAAACGCTTACTTCTTTCACCCAGCCTACCCTCAGCCACTCAACCTCCTGTTCGCCTTACCATGCGTCGACCCTATCGACGAAGGCGACGCGCTCGCGACAGGGCAGCCCAAAGGCCTGCACCACCACACCGCGCTCCTTGCTTGCCAGATCATTGCCGACAATGCCTTTGAGTCGGGACAACTCTACTTCGACCGCCAAGGTGCACAGCCCGTCTCGGACCGAATCCCGATACATGGCCTCCTCACCCCCGGGGACTATTTCTTTCTCGTGAACTCCGATCGCAAGTCCGCCCAGTTTTGCTTCTCACAGTTCTCTGTTAATATGCTCCGCCCTCCGACATGATACGCGTGCTGACGTTTCTACCAACTGCTAGCTTCGTATCGGTACCCCGTCGTACCAAGCTTCCGCGACTGGCGATTCCCCCACGGCTATATTCCCGAAGCCTGGCCCTCAACAAAGTCTGGTCTCGCAACTGACACAGGTCGACGCTGCGCGCTGACAAACAGCGCCTTTGGCCTTACGAGTGCCCACATAATACCAAGGGAAGAAGGCGAATGGTTCATGCAGAATGGTATGTCGCGGTATGGGGCGGATCTACGCGACGTCAACGATTCCCGAAATCTCATCCGCCTGAGGGCCGACATACACCGTTGCTTCGACACCCGTTTGTTTTCCATCGTTTCGAAACCAAAGTTCGCATCATCCATCTCAGACACCTTGTCCACTACTACGGACCCAGCGTATGTGCTGCACGTCTTTGGAACCAACATAGGAGAGTTCTCCAGCCTATACCACAACATGTGCTTTCAATACCTCGAAAACACAAGCCATGAATTCTTGTTCGCTCGTCTCGCCTGGACCATTCTGATACTCATTAAGCCTTTCGTGCTTGCGGGCCTGCGGCGGTCTGTTATTCGATGCCGGAACGGCGAGGATGGCTTCGACTGGAGAGCTGAAGAGTTGTCGGGCGCCGATCTGTCGAGCTTTTACGGTGGCGGGGGCTCGCGGAGTGCCAGTCCCAAAAAGCGAAGTCGCCCGCGTGAGAAGGAGGACCGCGACAGCCTCGCCGATGCGGATGAGTGGTATGACGAGATCTCGGAAGGAGGCAGGGGACGGAAGCGTGCGCGCCCCGATTCTCCAAGTCATTATCCCCATCGCAGTATCACCCCTTTCCTCTCGAATGGGTCAACTTCGTCTGCAACCCCGACCCACGAGACCCCTTCCCCAACCTACCACTCGTCTTTACCTGACATCAAGGGTAATGAGCCCCTGACTCTTGTGGGCCACAACTCACAACAGTTGTGACTGGGTATCAAGACTACACTTAACCTCACGGGCATTGACGCCGCCTGGTTGAGGATCAGCGACAAGAGCGCTCTTAGAGGACGAGGACAAACAAGTATGTGTTCCTCTCATCTCGACTACGCATTCCAGCCTCAAAAGCATGCCAGTTAGTGTACCTACTACCACAGCAAGCCCTAGGACCTATGAAGTAACCTTTCCTTCGTCTACAGGAGTAGGATGCACATGTAACCACGACTTGCCCGTGCTCTTGGTAAAGCTATATCTCGTGCAAAATGTCTTTCTGTCCGTCACCGATAGTACCGGAGATCTTGGTACGACCCTCGCACGACGGATGGCGTTGGCAAGAGACAGACGGCGATGCGATAACGTGCCGCTCTGCTATCCTTGTCCTTCGGGACCCCCAGTAACGATCAGGCCAGACGAGCGAGCCTATTTCACCACCCCAGTGATGTCGCCTCTCTTCTGCTTTAAGGGACTTTCGACGCTTCGTGGCCTTGTGTTATCCCCGGTCGCTGTGTGATTAACGGCCGTGTAGTCCACCGCGATCTCCTCAAGGGCTAGCCAACAGGGGAGCTAGACCATCATATGGGTCCTGGTCAAGACCACCCTGATGATCTTTATCCTGGGCTCCGTGACAATTCTGGCCAAGGCCTTTGGCAGGGTGCTGATCAAGAACTTGACCAAGGCCTTGGCGGGAACACTGGTCGAACCCCTGATCCGCTGAGAACGAGTCAAGCTCGAAGACCGAGTCCAGGGAGCCCGGGCCGAGATACAGCCCTGCCTCAAGGCCTACTGCCGACGGCAACACGGGCGACTGCTATCGGTCATCTTCCAGGCTTGGTGTATGCGTCACTTGGTTGTTGAGAGCCCGGATCTGGAGGTTGACAGTGGCTGGCGCCGGCTAGTTGTTCCCTAAGTACACGGGTCTCTTGATCTTTTGTGGGCGACGAGCGCCCAGCATTGTGATGACTGAGACGAAAAACATGCTATCATTTCTTTCATGACAGATGTCGTAACTCCTGTTATAAGGGTGTTAAGCTATGGGTTAGGCGCGTGCTGGAGCATAGCTATTCCACGACTGGGATGCGCAGCTTCAAGCTAAAGTTGCCAACGCTAGGCTGCTAGCACTATAACCTTCTTATTCCTGATAAATTATTAGTTCTAGACTACTAGTAAGGTATTTTATGAGCTAAGCGCTGCTTCTTTTTCGTTTTCGCCCTATTGAGATGCCGTTAGATCGTATCGCGACATCGCAGCTATAAATTTCTAGGCCGGAAGTGACTGTTTCCTTTGTTTATATACTAGCATAGTCATCTTCAGTCTCAGAAAGTCTAAACTTTCTAGATAAGCAGCACCGTCAATTCTTTTCATCGCTGATTAACGTCTCACCACTTTCTGTACATAGACGGCAGGGGAATAGTTGGGAGGGGGATGGGAGACGGCTCGAGTTATACACATATGCCAGCAGAGTAAATAATTTAAAAAAGGACCTTGGCTAGCAATCTGTTTAGGGATCAGATGATATCTTGCTGGCCTGGTAGTGATTAGGAATGTATAGAACTCACGCCAACAACCAGATATAAAAGCCCTCAAAATGGATTTCAAAACCAGTCTATTTCTCATGTTCCCGAGCGGAAAAGCCAGCCAACCCTCTTTCCTTAATTTTCCTCGTTCAGGGACAAACAGACCCATGCACCAAACTCTAGCGGTCAATTGGATTCATTACTAGGAGAAATGGGGCCATTTTGGATCACGAGGTGGACACGACTGGATTCGGTTTGTAAGTAGGTGTAATTAAATATGCAGCTGGCGGAAGCACGGCAAATTAGGGGCAAGCAAACGGACACAACAAACAAACAAGAACAAATAAAAAGATGAAAAACCTTTCATCCTCACCACCATCAGCTTGACAATCTTACTACTTCCAAACACGCGTTCGAACGAACCCATGCCAGACGGCATGGCTCGGCTCCAGCTAAGGAGGCGCCTCCGCGCCTCTCGTCCCGCTACAACGACAACGACAACGACAACGACAATGGCAACAACAACAACAACAACAACAACAGCAACAGCAACAATAAGACTACCACGCTCTCCCTATACCCGGGCCAAAACCATCACAACTGTCCTCCGAAGCCTCCAGCGGCGGGACGGAGAGGGCCCGTACGTCCATGGCAAGCAAATCTCCTTTTTCAACGGCCGGAACAAGGACGACTGGAATAGGATGCTGCCGGACCCTAGCCACCGCGACAATATTAGCGCGTTCCTGAAGGCGCCAAAGGCCGGGAAGCAGAGCTGGGTGGGTTTCTTCAGCTGTCCGCAGCGCAGCTGGGTTGGCTCCGGTAACGCGTATAAGTCGGCCGACTGGCATTGCTTTGCGGCCCTGGTCGTCGCGGACGGGCGGGGCCGTGGCAAGCACCTGCTGTTGTATGATAACGACGCCAAGGCCGGTGTTGATACGGCCAGCAGCCGTATCTCAGATGTCCTCTGGGGCCTACAAAAGAGCCTCTGGGAGACTGCGTGTAACTCGGGCCGCTACACGCTGTGGTACTCGACAGATCGGAGCCGTGCTGGGACTGATATGTGCCTACGGCACGCACTCGAGAAAGTGCAGGAGTGGGCCGCGTTACAGGATCAGACGCTCGACAGCGAGAGCGACGCCCGTCTGTCGGGCTTTGTGAAGCTTTTCAAGAAGTAACGGGGGTGTATCATGCATGTAGATCCCATTTGACGCTGGGGGCGTACAACTCACGAGCGGGATGGGGAAATGAATAGTTCAGGGCTGGCTTGGACAAACAACCAGTGTGCTAAGAATGTAGACTAGATATGTATCCGATGGATTAAATCACTACAGCGTGTCTGTCTCGGGGTCTGATTCTCTCGATGTAATAGCATTTGGTGGTTGATGGTAAAGGATATATGTAGAATGGAAGTCGAGCGCGTTTCGAGTAAGTATTTAGGGGGATTAATCTTAGATACTCGGTGCAAGCGTATGGTCAAATCTCACGCAAAACCAACGCTGCCAATAACAAGGTACCAATCCCACGTTATATTACATATGGTATGGGTGTTGTCTGTAAGAGGAGTACCAACGGTCACTAGTAGGATATTTACATCATGTGAGGATAACGTGGCATGTCCCCCCCTCCCTCCCTAACCTTGCGTGGCCAAGGACGTCCCGTTTTCGGCGATGCCCCCGATATCTTCCACCTTAATCTTATGGCGCATGCCTGATGACGTCCAGATATGCCCATAACCTACCTGCTCGCTGTATATGTTTGACGCAATGACTTGCAGCCTAACCCAACCCAAGTATGCGCACGCACGCACACCGTTGCGCGTATGGGTTCAAAGCCGGGATCTGGGTACGGCAGAGAGACGGGGAACCCGTCACAGTGCGAATTGATAATTTCGTGTTCGGCTCCGCTTAAATATATTTACTAACAGTGGAAAGCATCAAGCGACAGTAGGGCTACTGGATGGATGCATCAGATTTATCCCCCAATGATTTCTACCTTCAGTACGGGCCATTATGTCTATTGGGCCGGGGCCGGGGCCGCATGCCCCGGACGGAGCGGGCCCCCCCGCCGCTTGCCGGCCTGCCTGCCTGCCTGCCTGCCTGCCTGCTGCCCTCACTTGGCGGGATGTCCCTTTGGAGAAAGACATAAAGAGACAAACAATATAGATAGCAGTCTTTGATGCTGATGATTGCAAGTTGTGTCTTAGTCTACTATGATTAATCGTGTAAATTCAAATGTATTATGGTGGCTAAGCAACCCCCTTTTATCCTTACAGCTGTCATCGAACGCTGTCTATACAAAAGGTCAGTTAATGCTACTAATACGTGTATTATAGATAACAAAGTTTGACAGTAAGGACCTAAAGGACGTAGCGTAGGCACCAGAGGAGCTTCTACCTTGTTATGAACGACGGAGCCAATGCAACAAGCATAGGATAATGTCATGGTTCTCGGTACGATAACGAATTGGCCAACGCCCATGATACAAAGACAGAGCGGACGCAACACCAAGCAAGTGGTGTCGTTTGGATACGTGATGCTCGAGCTGACAGCAGGTGCCGCCGCCGCCTGATCTATGTCTCTAAACCACATGAGGGACACCGTTTGTCCAAACCGTCTCAGAGTTTCCGATGCCAGTACCTCCCCGTCTCTAAGTCGGCCTACTTCTATCACATTTGCGTCTGGTGTAGCTTGGCACGTTCCTAAGACGAAAGCAAAGGCCAGACTTTGGCGCGAGGTAGATACCAGAATGTCCTTATTAACCGGCCGTCGTCGCCTGCCGTCTAGCTGACCCATAGTAGCCCACGCCACCACTCGCTGTTGTCGTCCCTGCACGCCATTGGCACTAGGCCACCGCAGAGAGCCCTGGTGCGGTTGCCCGGTCCTTCAAAGGTCTCAACCAAACCCTGTAGCCTTTCCCTTGTTGCGGTAACTGCCCATGTTGCTGACACAGCGGTCCGCAGCAACGGGGCTGCCTCGTCGTACGCTGGGACAATCAGGGAAAGGGCCCAGTCCGTTCTGCTACGCGGCGGTGGTACGGCGAACCAGCCACAAGGGGCGTCTATTTGGATGTGGCGCGACCGAGTAATGACGTTGCCTTTGCTTAGGATATCTAGGAGGAGACTCCCTCTAGTGAAAAGAGCTAGTAGAGCGTTAGATAACTCTACTAACTGCTTAGCAGCATTATATATGAATATGGCTATGGGAGACTATGTCAAGAGGTGTGTATAACCCTGACGGATAAATGTGTTTACATACAGTTGTAGAAACACGTCGTCGGGGCAGTAGTAGGGTCTCTATGTCTATGAGATAGTGGCGGTCGACAAGGTCTTGCACGCTAAGGAAGGAGGGTAGGGGGATTTCGACATAGAAGTGCAAGAGCTCATTTGTGTCGTCAAATAGAGTGAGGGCGGCGTGTTGAACGTGAACGCGCTGGTTGGATTGTGGAGGCCGTTCTAGAGGTCGGGACAAGCAGGAAGAGATGGGCGAGTGGGAGGATGCCAGGACAACGCCGACAATGACCAGCGGGAGAAGAAGGGCAAGTAAGCGAACGACGACGACGTCGAGGCAACGGCTCTTTGGAAATGACCAGATAAGGGCTGCGCATTAGTGCCAGGACCGGAGGACACGTGGAGGGCTGTCCAGGGGTCTAACAAGGTCAATGGCCGATTCTACGACGAAGACATCGTGATCCTGACTTGCGGTGGGATCAAACAGATCATGCTCGAAGTGCAGGTGGTGGCTGTCTCTCAAAGTGATGCTCAAGTGTGAGATGTCCTCTAGCATATATGTGTCTTGAAAGGTGATGCTGATGCCTTGCCGGCCGAAGGACTGAGTAGACGGATGCGAGGATGGAGCATCCGACCAGGGCCGACCGAATCGGACAGTAAAGCACAGGGTCTTTTGCGGTGCCTCATCCTGGTCGATCTCATCTTGGTCGAGTATGTGTGGCGAGTCCGCAGTCTTGGGTGTGCTGTTGTCACGAGTTAGAGCACACAGAAGGGCATAGATGAATAGAGTTCTAAAAGGCTTGAATTATCATAAGAGAAAGTGAGGACTCTGACGTCCTACATATACATTAGTTATACACGAGTAAGTGACACACCACTTGATAAAGCATATGACAGAGCCATTACTCATGGTGGGACACATGAAGCTATCGTGACAGCTGTTGCGGTCATGACTAACAGGGTCTATCTCTTGACGGAGCGACAATGCCGACGATGACGAAAACGAGCTATATCGATGAATCCGATGGTAAAAGAAAGAAGAAAAGAAGAAAGAAAAGGTCAGGCAAGCCTCCAAGACACGGCAAAAAGAGCGGCGGTCATGTCTTGGCAACTGTCCCACGCCTCGTACGCAGACCTGTGGATGGCTGCCGCTGCCGCCCATTCGCTGTGCGCCTCGTCGACTTGCGCCTTTGTCGCGTTGCCACTCTGCGCCTGCGCCATGGTGAAGTAGGCGCTTCTGGACGAGTCTGCCTCGGACCCGGCCGCAAAGACGTGTTGGAGCATCGTCCTCGTCGTTGATATCATCGTCGTCGTCGTCTCGTGGGGTGCTCGTGTGGTCTGCCGCAGCCTTGACAAAATCACGCGGCTGCGGCGCGACCGAAGGCTTGACAAGTTGTCCTTGATGCTGGGCTGAACCGTTCCCTCGTACTCTTCCTGTTGCTGGTGATGCTCAGTCACCAGCAGTCGTCTTCGTCTCAGGCTGCTCCCCAGCTGCATCTTGTTCCTTGTTGGCGTCGTCGCCGTCGTCAACCGCCGCCGCCACCTCCTTCTCAACCTGTCATCTCTTGACATACGTCAGCTGGGACGTCAACGAAGCCAACTTGTCCCAGTTCCGCTCAGAGGGGCTCTCTTCTGAGCCCTCGGGCACGTCCCGCCACTCACCGCCGTCGAGGAGCAGGCCAATGTCGCGGAGCACTTCGTCGGTGAAGCGGCCCAGCAGCTTGGGTCTCGCGGGTTGGACCGTCTGGAGGTGGTGGTGGAAACGGCGGAGTTGGCGGGCTCGCATGACGCGGTCGACATGCCCGACGCTCCGGCTGCGCTGGTTCGCCATGGCCTGTTTCTTTCTCGTCAGCAGAGAGAGGCTTCCTGGTAGGGTGAGGCGAGGGGGGGATGAATGGGTCGATTGCCCGTACCGGGTAGTGGTTGTCGATGCCGAGATTCTTCTTGATGATGGCCAGGTTTGTGTGTTACGCCGTAGACGCGTTGTTGTTTTTGTTACTTCCTTTCTTTTTTTTTCTTCTCCAAGTTTCCAGGACCTTTTAAGGCAGCGCTGACAAATATGACAGACCACACGAGGCAGCAGCTTTTTAAGGTGGCAGCTTTTTGGGGTATGCATCCAGTTCGCCTTGAAAGGGGTTCTTCGCGGGAGCATATACGTCTGTTAACCTGCTTTCTAGTTAACCTTCTTTTCCTCATAGTGTGTGCAGAGTGCGGGTGGGACGGGTCGTGCTTCATTTTATCATATTTAGTGGTTTTTTGTTTTCTTTCCATCTTTTTTAATCACCTTTCACAAGTCCTCCCCCCCATTACCAATTGTCTACTCTCTACAAGTATGTGTACATGAAATGTGACACCGGCCAGCCCAGTGACGGCCAGTCGTGATGAAAACAGCGTTCAAAGAGCCCGCGGCCGGGCAGATTGGAGCTCTCCAACGCTGCAAGGTGGAAGAAGGACAAGACTCAGGTCAGGGGCCGCGGCCAAGCAGACTGGACCCCTGATTCTGTCACCACCATCGGCGGGCGCATCACCCGCTCGCGTCGTGGAACCAAGGGTGGTCGGACAGTCGTCTGCACCCGCACATTTCAAAGAAAACAGACAGATAGGATGTCAAATTAGCAGATGCCATAAAACGCGGTGCCCGTTCCGCGCCTCAAGGCTCTTGAACTGACAGCTGCGTGGTGGTGGTGTTTGTTTGAAGCCATCGCCCTCTTGCCTCGAAGTGGTGTGGTGGAGGTTGTTGTGCCGTGTGGCGCTGTGGCACGTGCCGGCAAGTGGAGAGTGCCGACTAGGCAGTGGCTGACGCCTCGCCTCGTGGCTGTGGGGCTCATTCGAGCCTGTGGAAGGTGGACCGTTCCCAAGATGAGTTGAGACGGGACGAGGCGAGATGAGGCGCGATGAGATGAGATGAGATGATCCCAAGCACAGATGCCAGGCGGCAGCGGATGGACGGCTGTAGAACCTGCCTCAATGAGAATTGAGAACTGAAGAAAGCTTGAGGGTGGCTTTTATGAAAAGTCAGGAACACATAAAAGTCAAAAGAAAAAACACTTCTTCAGTGGTCGGACTTGTATTCTACATACCTGCACGGATAGGTGACTGTGATGGCCTGGCTTGACTCTCCTCTTGCGACCTGACGTCTCTTTGGGCGAAGCTCTCAGATGCCGGGTTCTTTTCTCAACGATGCATGGTCTCGTATGTTTGGTGTCTTGGGGATGGATGTTGGGGGGGCCAGCTTGGATGAGGGTGCTGAAGAATGAATGAGACCAAGACAAGACACCCGCTGAGACAGACACTGGTGGTTGGCGATGGCCGATCTGGGCCTACTACCACCGGTAAGCGACTGGCCACAAGAGACGTACCGGTAGGTGTGGGTGGCAGTTCGCCTTGAAAGTGGTTCCTTGGGGAAGGTAGAAGCCTTCCAGGGCGCCATCAGCCTAGCCGACCAGCCGTGGGTGTGTACCTTTTTCGAGTACGTACATTGGTGAAGTGCGGTGCAGGTCCAGGTCTAGATGCGGGTCTAGATGCGGGTCTAGATGCAAGTCCAGATGCAGGTCCAGGTGGAGGTGCGGTTGTACCTGTACAAGTACCTGGGTACCGTACCCATATAGGCACACCTGCCCCCCACTAGAAATCGGTAAAAAATTACCGATTTACAGTGGGGTGATGGGGGTGGGGGCACACCACAGCCCCAGGCCACAGCTGGCAGCCAGGCCACAACTGTGGCATTCCCCACAGGCCTGCCTTCCTTCTAGACAGTCTTAGGTACAATTTCCTTAAGTTGATAACATTAATAGGTTCTTCGCGCTTTAAACGGCCGCTGCATACGCTGTCAAGTTGTGGGCACGGCCTTGGGGTCACGGCGACACGTAAGAAGCGGCTGCAGCCGTCTGGCCCACATCGCGGCGGCGTGCTGTCATACCTGCTACATGCATGAGCACGATGGCTTGGTCTCCAGAGATGGGAAGAAACCAATCCTAGAGTTGCAGGTGAATTGGATCTGGCTGTATCGACACGGCTAGGGGATAGACATTTAGCCCAAGTCTAATGCCGTACTGATTGTAGGCAGCTGGGCGCACATGCCCTACTGTGTGCTCTAGCTCGTGAGACATGTCATCGGCCTTCCTTGCCAGTTACGGTCAGACGTCAAATCATCCGCGCCCTCGATCCTAGAGCATACTCTAGAACGCGCCTGCGTGAGGTTCTAGGGTCGAGACTGACGACGTCCGTTCTGGCTTCCCCTCAGGGACAGGTAAGCTATATGTCATGGTTCTTTCCCGTCTCTTGTCACGGTGTTGCTATGCTGCTGAAAGTCACAGTGACGTGAAGCCTCGTCGTATTCCCCCATGTGCTCGCTGTGTCTTCCTCTTCTCTGCTTGTGCTGTCTGTCTTTGCGTCGTCGTTTTGGGTTTTCCCCCCTAATCCGACTGTAGTCACTTGTTTACTTTTTCTCTTCTTTTTTGTTAAAAAAAAAAAAAAAAAAAGTAAAGATGTCTACCAACTCTCTCCCCGGCGGCGCCGCCAGTGGCAGCAGCAGCAACAACAACAATAACAACATGGTCCCCTCCGAAGGGGGCATGAATGTAAGTCGTATGCCCAGACGCCCCCCCCATTCCAACAGCGTTTCTTCATTAGTGGTTTCATTACCTACCCCTTGCGAAATCATTCTCGCTATAGCTACTTTGAATTAACTTGCGAAGAATCAAGATAGACCATGATGGAATAACACTAACATGGCATGTGTGCGGTAGGATTTGATCAACCAGTACCCGTTGCGCGCCTTTCCCACCACCGGGGTGGTCAACCCCTGGGTGCAGCAGAACGTCCCGGCCGGCCCCTCGCTAGGCGCCACGGCACTGGCGCACCATATCGACACCCACGCCACCCGCCTCAACGCCGCCCTCACCGCCCAGGGCAGCGCGCCCGACGCCCGCCGCCTCCGCCTCCTCAAGAAGCTTGAGCGTCTTCGCGACGCCTGGCCGCGAGCCGAATGGTACCCGGCCGCCTTCGCCCCAAACCTCCCGCCCGCCGAGAACGTGGCGACGGCCATGTGGTCGTTGACCAAGCTTTGGCTGAAGGCGAGCCGGGACCTGGCCGATCTCTGGGTCGTGCACGACGACCCAGGCCGGTGCGGCCTGCTGGTGCAGGCGTTTAGGGAGAAGAGGGCCGTACGGCTCACCGAGGAGGTCACCACCCTCGCCCTACAGAGGGCAAAGGCCCTGCTCAGGCCGCCGCCGCCGCCTCCGCCGCCGCCTCCGCCTCCGCCGCCGCCTCCGCCACTGTCTCCACCACCGCCTCCGCCGCCGCCGCCGCCGCCGCCGCCGCAGTCCCAGTCCCAAGGAGGGGGAGGAGAAGCAACAGCAGCAGGAGGAGGAGAAGAAGAAGAAGAAGAAGAAGGAGAAGAAGGACGAGGAAGAGAAGAAGAAGACGAAGATGGCTTGGGCGGGTTTGACCCCATGGACTACTCCCCGACACCGCCACCACCACCACCGTCTTCACCATCGCCGCCGCCACCACCGCCGTCACCACCGCCGCCGCTGTCACCACCACCACCCCGGCGTTCCATGAGAGTCCTTTCCCGGGCGCAAGCCTCTCGGCAGCAGCAGCATCAGCAGCAGCAGCGGCAGCAGCAGGGAGGCCGGGAGGCTGCAGGCCGCAGAATCGTGGAAGACACGATGCGGTACCTTGCGCGCCGGCTCGGCCGGGAGGCGGATGTCTTTGGGCCCCACCAGAGGGGTGCGGCGGGCCGCCGCGTGCGCCGCGAGCTCGAGACCGCCTTGGGCGTGGGTCGCCGTGGTGTTTGAAGTTCACAGTTCGAGGGGGTATTCATCCTTTTTTGTTTTTTGTTTTTGTTATTCTTTTGCTTTTCTTTTCTTTTCTTTTTTTCTTTTTTTTTTTTGCGTTTTGGTTGGTGCTGTTGAGTGTTTTTTTGTTACACTCCAATTGCCGTTGGTTTGTAATGGAGTTTAGTGTGGTGCCTATGTTATATATTTGGTTTCTGTTTTCTCTCCCCTTGTTTCCTTTCTGCATACATGCATGGAAGTCCTCTTTTGCCTCTTTTCTATGAAGCCACCAAGTGGTGTCTTAGCCCTTGACATGTGCGTAGCATTGTGTCATGTATCGATGTTCATGTCTGGTGGTCCTAACGGCGCTTCTGATATTGAGTAAAATGCCTGCAGGTACTGTGTGCCCAGGGCCGCACTGACTTCCTATCTAGGTACAAGCGATTGGACACGGCTAGTTTCTATCCCACATAACACTTCCTCCACCGACACTCTTATCCTCACTGTCGCCATTATAGTTGCTGTCAACTGAACCTATTCCGACTTGCCGTCTTTTCCGATACAACTCACGAGCCTCCTGGCATGGGTGCGACGTATGGAGCCCATCCGGGATTGCCATCGACACAGGGTGCGGCGAGCAGCTTGAAAAGCGCATTGCTGCCATGAATCCTTGATGGAACCGGCTGGCAATAACACACATGTCCCCTCTGCTTGTTGCCACTCGGCCTTGTCAGCGCTGACCATTCCTCATCTGCCAGTCCGCCGTGAGCAGGCACTCCTTGTGGTAGTCGGGTGTGCTTCTTCGACAGAGCTCCTTTAAGAGACGGTCGTTGCCTGCGCACCGGGCAGTATAGACGGGGCACGCCTCGACGTCTCGACTGTACTTACGAATCTGTTCGTAGTTCCGCTCGACGTCATGGTCCGCCGTAGATGGGGATGCGTTATCGTAGACGTAGTTTGGGCCATGCAGGTCTGTGGAACCGCCCCTGCCGATGATGAGCATTAAGCTCCTTGCCATCGACTCGGCCGCGGCACCGTCCCGGCAGGCAGACGCGTAGTTGAGAGCTCCTAGGCCGAGGTCGTCCCGCTCGTTGGCGGCGGCTGCCGTGATCAGTCCTTGCGAGAGGAGCCACTCAAAGAGAGGGACCAGACCGTTGGCGACTATAATCATGAGGCCGGTAACGCCGTGGGACCCCGGTAACGGACGAGACCAGTCGGCGCCACACTTGATCAACAGCCTAGCGCAATCCATGTGGCCATGGCAGAGAGCCAAGTGTAGGGGGGAAGCACGGGGGGCCTCTTCTGGATCGTAGATGACGTGGAATAGCTGGAGAATGATCAGATGACGTGACGGGCACACGCAAGCGTATCGTGACAGCTGATCAAGGGCCGGGCTGCCACCGCAGGGCGACGGGTGGTGATGGTGAAGCAACCACTGTAGGACGGAAAGGTCGCCCGTAGAGGCGGCAATGTGAAGCGCCGTCGTGTGGCCTACGCTCACGTCGATATCCCTCCGCCAGGGCCAGTGGCCACGGCAGGTTGTGGCTGGATAGCGGAAGCGTGCCGTCAAGTGCGAAGGCCGTAAGGCGAGAATCGTCTCGAGGAGAGGCAAGTCGCGGGAGGCAGTGGCCCATAATACCAAAGGAAGGGTGTACGGGTCGTCATCAGTAACCATGTTCAGCTTGTCTACCTCGGCGTCATCCCGGCCAAGGGCTTTGGTGTGTAGGAACGGAAGCGTCATTTCGTGGAAGCAGCGACAGGTACGTGCGACGGCGGCCAGAGTGGGCATGTCTTGGACGGAGTCAATGATGGCAAGGACGAGCTCTTTGGGGACAGCAGCCATGATTCCGTCGTGCTTGTCGTACACCTACACGGCGATGTTGAGCAGTGGAGTGGTTGGAAGCCAAGAGATGCCGTCAAGTTGGAGGGATGATTGCTCGAAGTTTGGCAATAAACAGTGGCACTAATCGACATTAACATGCGGCCGCTGGCTCCTTATCTAATACGCTTTGTCAGCTTTTCCTTATCGAGGGCAACCAACTACCCAGACAGCAGAACAGAGCCGCTATCTAAAGTACAAGATTGACTAGGCCTTACACAAAGATGCAGCCATTGATTTTCGTGCCAGAGAGCGTCCTCACGATCAGGTCGCATGTACCATGTCAAAGGTATCGATAGAATGCATTTTTTGATATGTCTGCCACTGGCGTACATTGGTCCCGGGCGATTTACCCTTGGTGCTGAGTGCTCATGGCGCTGAGGCAACAGCGTCAATCGGTAAAGAAATTACCGATGGCCCCTAAGATCATACGCTAGCCACTGAAGCGTACGTACACGGTGCAGTGCACCCAGCCTGTCTGTCCTGTTCATAGAGGAGGGAAGGGACGGCACCTTCCACGTGGAGAGCAGTTGCAATACAACAGCATCGCGTGGCGGCACACTTTATTCCTTCCTTCTAGACTGGTGTTAGCTGCGTACGCTTCACTCCTCCAAGGCAGGAAAAATAAAAAGACGGCAGCGTACGGTACGTACCTATTCTATTCTCTTTGCAATTTCCGTCTCGTCTTCCCTTCTATCGTCCTTGTTTCGTGTCCTTGAGACAAACGCTGGTTGCGAATCAAAACGATGCTCCGCAAAAGCCTTGACGCCTTCAACTCTCTCCTCTCCCGCGACGAGTTTAAGTCCCAAGTCGTTGAGCTCTAGGGCACCCTCTGCGACGACTTTACTGCTGCCACTGCTGCTGGAGATGTCGATGTGACGGGCGGCGATTCTTTCTCGACTTCCTCCCCAAACACGCAAACCGCTCGCTGCTTACTGTCGCTCTCGACCATCAACTCGCCGCTCAGCTTCGAGATATTGAGAACAACACCAACCGTCGTCTTCTCAGCCGCTCCTCTGCCGCCCACAGGCGCTGGTCAGTCTCTCGCAGCATATCTCTCTTCGTATTTGGCTTCCAGGTCGTCACCTGCCGCAACGCCATTGTTGCCCTCAACACGCTACGCTTGCAGCGGAGCCATCTTGACCTTGTACACCTCAGCCAGGCCCTGGACTGAGTTTCTATGCACGATACCAAGAAGTCTGGCGACGTCGTCAAAAAGTCAGACTTTGACCGTTTCGGGGAGGCTATGGAATCTCGCAAGTTGCCCCCCGCCCTTTTTCCATCTTTCCGTACGCTGACCGAACCCCTGCCACGTCGCAGTCTGCCCCGAAGCCTGGCCAAAGACAAAGCCCAGAAAAAGGAAAGTGAACTCAGCCGAAACCGACGCCTTGTCCGAGCAATGCTCCGACGACATTATGTTAGTCCCGGTCACGCCGCCTGCCCCTAAGCGTGCACGCCTTCATACGCCTCTCAAGCCGACCCCGGGAACCCATGCTGGCCAAGCCCGTTCCAAGCGTGACTGCTGGCACCACCTCGAATCCCCATCCAATTCTCGGCTAGCTTATTCAGCCTTACCCAAACGCCATCCACGGCCTAATGAGGACATCGAACAAACTTACGCAACATCTACCTGGCCAAGGTAGCGTTCCCGACGCGACCCAGTTCAATACGCCATCCCTAAGCCTGGTTTCCAGCCTATTCAGCAGCAATAGCCCGTCTCAAGACTCTAACAATACATCATGCAATAGCCCGTCTACAGGCATGACTTCTTTTGACGTGGAGACCTCGTTCGGACGGCACTGTCTCCTCCTAGACAGGTATGCCAGCTCTGACGGAGACGAAGACCTTACCGACATGAGCAACGTCACTGAACAACATAAGACAGACCCGGGCCTGGATCTGTCTACCGTAGTCGAGGAGGAGGCAGACCCGGGCTTTCATCGTCCATTTGTCCATGGCATGCGACCCCGCACCCAGACCATGACCGGAACCAACCCAGATGGCACTGAAAGGTGCCCGTTCCCTCTTGATCCCAATTCCAAAACGACGCATCGAGGCCAACATTCCCCCCTTACCGACCAAGACGTACAGAGCAGGGAGAGGATGCCCGTCAGGATGCCGGATCCATCGAACACTCCCGTCATGGTTGCCAATCTTATGCACACCGTCGAGAAATCAAAGTACGAGTCTGTGACGCATGTCGCCCCTGAGCAGGCTACATCAGGACAGCCTTCAACGAACCCATCCTTGCCCTGCAGCAATAACAACATACTGCCCCAGTCACCTCAAGATTTGGGTGTCATTGACCTAACAACCGTCGCGACAGGTAGCAGCACCACACCAGCACCCCCATGCACCATCTCTAGTGGCCAGAGCATCGTTATTCAGTCTCACTAGACCAACATGACGAATCAAATCAGCAAAATGATCGACAACAAGGCCTAGGTGTCTAGTTCACGGCTGCTTGCTGCCTTGACTGTCATCACCAAGTCGTTCGGCGACTTCCAGTCTGGCGGTGGCAGCCCCAAGTGGCTTGTGATCGATTCGTTGGTCACTCTTACATGAATCAACAAAAGTTGATATCATCACGTTACAGAACACCTACACTTACGATACAGACGGAACTAATTCATCGCTCAAACGGCACTCTTTGCGCTCTTCATGGCCCAGAGTTGCCGAACAATGCGTCGCGCATTGACGACTTTGGTAACCGGGAATCTCGATCCCTCACAGGCCATACGATTACCACCCATCATAACCATCTTTAGGCAAGACATACATGATCCATTGTCAGTGACATGGGTAATGTGTCATCCCTGATTTCTTTCTGAATGGAGTCATAGCACAGTCCACTACCAACAAACGTAGCCTTGCAGGACGCAGAGGCCCAAAACGAGCCTGATTAGACTTCTTTCCAATGGATTTGAGGTTTATCACAAAAGCAAACAAACGCAGGTTGACTGAATGGTACGGAACAGCTGCTAAGCCATGCTGCCGGGCCTGTTATCTGCTTAGCTCCATTTTCTGATACTAGGCCACAAACCAGGCCTGCTATGGACTTCTCACTAAACTTCATGTATACTAATCGAAACCAAGCACCGATCCCTGTGTTGCAGCAGCAGCAGCAGCAGCAGTAGCAGCAGCACGTTGAGTCAAAAATGTGAGACTTGGTGTTTTGGCATAAACACCTAAAGAAAGGTTCGGAGAATAAGATCTCTGGAGTAGTACTAGCCTCACCAATAATGAACTACTTCTGTATTAAGGCGCAGTCAGGAAGCCTGTTTATTTGTGCAAGGAACACAAGTCATGAAATCCACATTTCGATTAGTGCACTGCTCGTGGGGCAAACTTTGATTCAGTTATAGACGCCCAATTAGGATCCCTTGAATCAGCATTGTTGTTCTCGTCCTTGAGAGGACCAGTCTTCACATGACTCCACCTTGGCATCCTCTTCATAGCTGCAGCCAAGATAAGAACAAGAACAGACCACAAATCGTAGGCGCACTTTCACCAAGTACGGCAAGAGAGAGTATAAGCGTAGGAGAGGGCATAGATTGCCTACTAGAGAACCTACCGCATCACGGCTGGTGAGTTCTAGCAGAGTATATTTAGGATGTTAGACTGCTTCATGAACGGTTCCCAGCCCAACCACCTGTTCTCTATCACCGTACATAGAACTATGCAATATACGGCGTAGCGTGGCCAGCGACACGCCTGCACTCGCGTGGGAGACAACTTTGCTGGACGATTTGGACGACCTGAACAGGCGGCTGGAGCGGTTGTAGTACCTTGATGATGTAGTTGGTGCTGCTGCTATCACTGAGGTCTGGTGGCGGAGGCTGTTATCGCCACAGTGGTTTTGCGAGGCTCCCCTGCTGCGCCGGTGCTCTGGGTGGTGTAGGACGCGTACATACGTCGTAACGCGTCTGAATAGCGCTGTAGACGTGGTTCGGGAGCTCAAAGCGCGGCGGCAGGAGTTTCTTGACGACCACAACGTCATGGCCACCGCTAAGAATGTCGAGAACGTGATCTGTCAGCACAAATGGGCAATGGGGGTGTTTGACAGGCTGTTGTAGCGGCGCTAACAGCAGCAGCAACAGCAGCAGCTTCGTAACACACTAGATGGTATGACTGATAGCAACCAATCATCAGTGGCACAGCTTGAAAAAGCACGGTTTCTTGTGAGCAGTGGCTTTTTATGCGTTAAGGAGCGTGGTAGACGGCGTGCTGAGGATTAAGGATGCTATGACTGGCGAGATCTAGGTACTTCTTAACCTGATTAACACCATAAAGGAGATTAAGCAAGATATTAATGACGGGGAGCTTGACGTGCTTTACGTAGTTAAGTAGACTAGTTATCTCGTTGAGAGGTTCTTGGAACGTAGGAGGAGGTCGAGGTCTAAGGGGAGGCGTGTGTGTGCTGAAAACCGCATGGTGGGAAATACGCATGTGGTGTGACAGGTAGAAAAGGGCTCTAAGTATAAACGAACTCACTCGAGATGAAAATAGGTATGAAGCAAAGATGATGATGATGATGGGGACGAGGATGAAGGTCAAAGTAAAGGTGAGGATGAAGTGAGGATGAAGTGAGGATGAAGTGAGGATGAAGTGAGGATGAAGTGAGGATGAAGTGAGGATGAAGTGAGGATGAAGTGAGGATGAAGTGAGGATGAAGTGAAACTAAAGCTGTGATAAACATAAAAGGAGAGGTGGCAAAAATCAAAAGATAAATCCCAAGGAGCCTAAGGAACGCCTTGCTGAACCACTTGGCTTGTGGTCCTCCCTAAGCAAAAGGTTGTGCTACTTTTTGCATGCAAAAACTAGCACCAGTTCCTCCAGCTTCCTGTTTTTTTAGCGCCGTCGGAGGATAAAGGTCAGCTGCAATCAGCAAGGAGAAAAGACAAGAGTGAGCAGGAGAGGTCTGTGACTTGATGGGGCTCCGCTGCTTCTTCTCCCTGCTAGCAGACAGAGACATCAGCCAATACGGTGACGGCGAGGAGCGTGTGAAGGAGATGGTGCGGTGGTCGCTCTATGGCGGGGACCTCTGTCGTCTGTGTGGTATAACAGGAGAATGTAGAGGCGAGTGGGAAGGGATGGGAGTGTGATTAGGAATTTCCTTTCCACGCTCTCCCAATAGGTGCTGGCGACATGAGGACATTACTTTTGCGCCCTATCGAGGAGGGCCAGGCGCCTGGTAATCGTTGTATTGGTGAAGGCGCTACTGTAGATCGGCGCATGTTCATTGTGGAAGTTTTGGGTTCATCTCATTGAGGCAAAGAGACGCAAGGTCTCATAAATGTTTTTACAGCTGGCGGAGGAGGATGAGGAGAAGGCTCGCGGTGTCGGTTGGCTTGCATGTTGGCTCTGGATACGGGGTAATGTTCTGAATCTGGGGACATCTGCTGCTGTGGAAGTTGATTGTCGTCTGGAGACGAAGGAGACTTATGGCTGCAACTTTGGTCTCCCTGTTCTGAAGGTGAATCTGCCACAGGCAGAGGCACTCGTAGGTCGCCGTTCCAACCAGGTTTGAGCCAGGAGTCCATGTGTTTAGGATGACTAATGAGAGAAGAACAACAGGTTTAGTGGACAGGCATGGGACAAGGCCAAGGGGAAAATGAAAATAAACTGAAGAAAACAATTCACTATCGCAGTTTGTCCCCCTCGATGGTTGGGTGCGTTGAGGGGCGAAGGTGTTTCAGAAGAATCTAATGCAAGCTTTTAGGGCGTTGGCTACACAGGGATAGATGCAGTTAATGTACTTTAAGCCAAGATTGTCGATGCCCAGGTCCTTGTGTAGCTGTGAGAGGCAAAGGTCGGGAGACGAGCCGACGAGCTAGTAGCAGACGATGTGCTCATATGAACATAATGGCGACCTCAAATGGCGAGAAGGAGAGGTGCATGTTGGATGTGATCTCAATGTCATGGAAGGTCTGGAACGGGGCACGTATCAGTTAGTGTGCTGCACCACGAGCATGAACGAATTGGCTCACTGTTGGCGTTACGCGGGAAGTGGAATCGTTGACTGACGGGCATCATGGAAACATTGTAGGGAGCAAGTAGATGATTTAGATATCTCGAAAGACTTGGTGAGGATGGGAGAATTGGAGGTTGACTAGCTACACAGGATGGACGATAGCATAAGAGAACTAAACGACATAAGAAAGCGCGAGAGAGAGAGGGAGAAGAAGAAGTACAGCCATTAGTTTCTTTGACAATTTCATGTATGAGAGCGAGAGCAAGAGGATGAGAGACAGAAACAAGAAGAAAAGCGTGCGCTAGGCATCCTGAATTTAGGAGAGATACGTCTCGCTACGTGTGTTAACAGGTGCATGCGTGTTCAACTGGCTGCCTATCGATGGATTTCTCACCAAGACGGATAGTGGTGATAAAGCAGAAGTTTAGGCACGTCTGAATACAAATGGCTGGCAGACACCCGCCAACACGGTTCGGCTAGGCCTGAAGAAAAAAAAAGAGGGGATGACTGATCTGCTCATCCGGCCAGTTGCAACATTTCTGCCTCGATCTGATGGATCTGCATTTCGAGCTGGATGATAGCCTTGACGTGAGTTTGGTAAGCCGCTAGGTTACGGTTGAGCTCGGCGCCGAGGTGCTGGAATCGTGGCGACGATGACATGGGCGTCGTGGCGGGGGGCGCCACGGCGATACGGGAAGCGGGCATCGAGGGCGTTGAGCATATATCTTGAACCTCAGCAGTCACGCCGGAGAGAGAGTCATGTGGGCACGAGACAGCGGCGCGGGCATGGTATGAGGAAGGTCAGGAGGGTAGCTGTGGTGGGAAATGTCATGATGCTCGTCGTTGTTACAAACGCCAACGGGCGCGAGATGGGAATGGGGTTGGCGACGGGGACGCGTTGCGGAAGTCGAACTGTTGGACGATCTTCCACTGGTGATGCAGTAGCTGACCGTTGCCCTGGTGGATATCCATGTCCGTTGTGGTGGTTGAGACGCTGTGGGTATCTTGAACAGCATCTGATCCATCTGGACCGGCGGTGTCTGCAGGAACGGGGGGGGGGGCAGCATAAACGGTGTTTGACCACGTAACTGAACTTGTCGGGGAGGAGATCCCCGGAGCGCAACCAGTTCAAGGAGACCAGGTACTGCTGCTGCAGGGGGGAGCCGGCTGTGCCAGCAGCATACGTGAAATGCTGGCGTTGCGGGACGGTGAAGTGCATAAGGTCGGGTGGGTGGGGAGAAGATACAAAGGTCTCGGAGAAGGACGGCTGAACAAAGCCCACAGAGTCCGCATTGGCCATCATAGGCCACGTATGTCGTTGCGGTCTTGAGCGAAACCAAATCTGTCGTGCTGCCGAGGAAGCCTATGTTGTTAGGATTCGAAAGGTTGGTGGTTAGAGATGGTCGATTTCGGCGTCTGCAAGTACTCACGAGAGCGTGGCAGGCAGACAAAGGGAAAATATTCATGCAAGCAACAGCAAGCGACATAAACTCACGGGGGGGTGCTTGCCACAGATGGCTGGGCCGAGACAGGTTCAAGCGAAAGGAATAAGAGGGATAGACAATACGAACCAGCAGAGTGGGAAATAAACACACTTCGTTTGGTGGCGGCCCATAGTACTGGACATGGCCTTTCCTCATCCTGTACGATGAATCTAGACAGAAGTGGTTAACAGCTGGAGCGAGACAACCCAGAGGGCCAGAGACAGGCAGCGAAGTATTTTCAACTGATCAAGGCATCAGAGAAATGATGCATCATCATCATCGCCCACTGCCCTTCTTTCTGACTGGTAGGTCGTTGTCTTGGACGGACAAGACATGGATCACGCTATTTTAACGGAGGGAATGAGTCTTCTCTATCAGTCCCAAATCTGACAGATGGTCCATCAACTTGACAGGTCTAAAAAGCCACAAATATATCCTTCACAAACCCGTCAAGCCTCACATCAATGCTCATGTTTGGTTCGCTTCTCTTCATCATCATGCGCTGCAACTAGCAAGCCACGATCCCGGTCCTTCGTATTACACACGGGGATGAGAGATGCCGTCTTTTTGATGCCAAAGCATCAGCTGATTCTCTCGCGACAAGCCACGACTAAGCAGCCGGTCACTCATCTTGAGGGGGTCGGTTCTTGCGAAAGACAATCAAACAACCATACAACCAAGACCAAAACAACCACTGCCGCTTCTCTTGGGCAATTGTCACACCCATGGACACACGCATGCGCGCGCGCCATTCTCCACAGCAACATGAGCCCCAACCTCCGCTCGAGCCAACAACATGCACTCACGCTGCACACACACAAACACACACGCTCGCGCGTGCGCGGCACTCTCCACGGCAACATGAGCCTCAATCTCCGCTTGAGCCGACACTATGCACTGCCAGCAAGGCGGGAACAGGGGCAGGACATTGGTTATTCCGCAAGAAGCAGGCCGCAGCGAAGCGAGGGGCGACAGGCGGACCGGGCACTGTGTGGTGTCTTCTCTCTTGACTCTCCTCCATCTTGCGGTCTCAGCCGTGTCCACTTCCCCGGTTCCCCTTCGATACCTGTAGCAAATGTACAATTTCCTGTCTGTTTCACTGTCGTTATTCCGTAGCCTAGTTGATCGCTCGTTCCCATCCATCACAGCAAACAAACAAGAGGGTCCAGTTTTGCCCAGCCGCGGTCCTCTCTGTCTGTTTTTGTCTTGATGGCGGTTCGTTCGACGCGCGCATTCTGTAACGCTAAATGAAACCTTTTTCCTGTTTCCTTTTCGCACAACCACTTGCAAAGAACGAGGGCCACTTGCTCTGGGATGCTGTGATCGGAGGGAGGTAGCAAGCCAGCCGTGGGCAGGGGGCCGGAACCGGAGCCGGGATGGATTCTTTATGTGGACCCATGGGCTGCCGATACGGATCAATTCGGGGTACGGCGTACGGGGGATCACGGAGGTGGTACACCATGCGAATCGGCCGAAAGCACCGTCTGACCACCAAGGTGCCTTGGACTTCCCTCCTCCGTCTCCCAACATGTATTTACAGCCAGCCGTCTGTCTCTTGGACTCCCCGTCACGTCACTCTTGCCAAAAACAGGTGATACTGAAATCTCATTTTCCGTGAAGAGGGGGTGTTTAGCTTTGGCGAAGGCTGACTAACGCCCCCGGGTATTTGAGTTAGTATTAGCAGCACCTAGCACCAGCAGCCAAACTAATCGTCTCAACATAACCGCTCGCACTAAATAACTTCACCTACAACACTACACATAAATCCAATTCCCCTAATCAGAACTATTACACTAAACGCCCAGACTAAGGCGTAATTCAACACAGGCAGACCTTTATGTCCCCCCTCTCGGCCTAAATGCGCCAGAGATCCAACAAGAAACTACTCTTCCTCGCTCAGCTAAATCCAGAGGCACCTAGTTATACAACAATATAATTTCCTTTAACACAATCCTAGAAGTAATCAAGAGCACAACCATCAGCTTGCCAGGCCCTCCAAATCTTGCGCTTTCCAGGGACATCGCCCAGAGATAAGGGCCTCGAGCTTTGTCGGCCAGGAAAAGTCAAGACGACTTTGCAACATAGATGAAGGAGCTAGCAAGGAAGTGGCCGACAGGAGCTTCATGCACCGCCACCAGGCGCCTCAGGCGGCTCTCACCAATGCAGCGAATGATGATGACGAGGAAGATTCTGAACGAGGCAACCACATCAATTGTACCACGTCCTATAGCAGCATCTCTCTACACGACTGTTGCGCCATTAAGCGCCAACCGTTGAACGACCTTACTTGAAATGCCTCGGTTGCGTAATGCACCAGCAATTAAACCAAAATTATTATTTCACGTACTTCGACACAAGACAGCCAGGGAGACTCCCACGCTGTTGCTACCTGCGCATTTTTTGGTCGGGGATCCCAGCCCGCGCAGCACAAGTCGTATCGACAAAAAGTTGCCTGAACCACCATTGTTTGTTCGCATATTAAACATCAGCAACACGGTCATCACATGAGCAAACGTCAGTCTATCGGAGACAGCCCAATATATGTTGGAACTTGTAGAAACATCGCGTTCAACAGTGTCATCAAGCTCATGTGCCAATTCCAAATATGCACAACTAAGAATCAATCAGCCACACCCGCATTTCACATGACACTTTACCGGTTGGTGGTGAACCATCATGCACTCGAGATGGCGCAGGGGTCTCCATCTCAGATATCAAGACGCGACTTCCACCAGAACTTGAATAATGGATGGTATGGTTCTAGGAAGATGTCTTTGGGTCGTAAAACCCTGATTTTCTGTAGACAGGGGTTATTCAGAGCCAGATAGAGTCCTGTTAATCAAGTCTGGCTCCCTCATCTAATAGCTTCAAGTTTACTGCGGTTCGGGCGTGGCAGACAACACAGATAGACATCTGACGTAATGGACGATAAGATAAGGTTGAGATAAGCGAGGAATGCTCGCTGTCTGTACGGATGATGGAGATGGACGCTGTTCCCAGTGACCACAGCGACAGTCAATGCACTACGGACCGCAATACACAGCGTGGAACCTAGGCGGGGGAGTCCAAGCGTACCCAAACATCCCTCGACCACCCCCGGAGATGTGCTTTGCTCCGGGGCCCCTTTGCAAGCCGGCAGGCGACTCGCTCACCGGGTCCAATTCCCACCTATAGACAGACAACATCAACATCATCTTTACCTTTCCCACCACCTTTCCCCATTTTCGCCATCATCTCATTAGTTCGCTCACCTAAATCCAAAACGTGTCTCCCACATTACATACTGCTTTCGCTTCTACTACTACAGCATAAACTTCTTGTCAAAAGACAACTTGCGGCACCATGCCTATCAACAATCAATCCTATGGCTCGTCCGAACGAGACAGTAAGTTAAACCCAAACAAACCCTTGCTTCCCCCTTTCCCCTCCAAAGTAGCCCCTATTAACCATGAGCAATCTCGCACACAGCACTACCACGGCCTCGCCATCAACCCGCGAATGCGCATCCACTGGAGCCTCAAAGACCGGATTGTTATCCTCAGTCACATAGCCAAGCGCGGGCTTACAAATCTGTCTGTCTGTCCAATACCATCTCCAGGAGCTGCACCAGATGATGTAATACAGGGCATAGTGGAAGAACAGCGTCAGCCGGTCGAGCTACCGGGGGGACGTTTGGACGATAATACGGTTGTGCTTATCAAGCCAGGAGCTATCCTCCCGGCCCCGGCTGCGGTGCCCGTGACTGCCCCTGAGTCTTTTCTCAACCCGGGCATGTCTCCTTTCATTAAGAGACCTGGCTTCAACACCACCGGCAAGCCGGTTAACCTGGAGGTCAACCAGTTCCGCGTCAAGCAGTGGAATAACAATGTGACAATCTATCAATATGATGTCACCATCTCACTTCCCCCCCTGAAGTACAACGTCGTCTTCAGGAAGTGCTAGGAGTCTCCGGCGGTTCATCAGATGCTAAAGAAATACAAGTGTCCTTCACGGGGTGGCGACGCGGCAGGCCTGGCGCGCGTTACCGTGTCGGAAGGTGATGGCGGTGACATAGCAAAGGAGCAGCAGCGGCAGCAGTAGTAGCAGACGCGGCGGGTCACCACGCAGGATGCACTGCTAAACAGCCTCCAGACCTACCCGCCACACAGGCTACAAGACAAGTATTGTCTAGCTATTGTCCAGAATCACCGGGTCCTCCATACTAGCACTGAGATATCTCTCTTGGCAGCTGTACCACCTTGCCCGCGATCGTCACCTCCTCCTCACTGACGTCTAGAATATACTACCGCTCCCTGGAACCTAAATCCTATTAAATTCTCCTCTATTATACTAAAACTTAGCACTGTACTTTGGGTTGTCTAGTAGACTAAGGTTAGCGTTATAGAGCTGTCCAATATAACAGATAGCGCCTAGTGATATACGTATCTAAATTCTACTATTACTTTCCTCTTTACTATGTATAAGGTGACTAATAAGAGCCTACCTTAGGTGTCTAACTAGGTAATGGGTTTCCCTTCGGTCCTGTCCCAAGTGCTTCTGGTAAAGGAGTTCAAAGCAGGTAAAGCCCCAATCAGCCAGCTACTCGTTAATCTACAGCCTTTCAGCAAGTCCTTGTCCAAAATCAAGGTGTACCATGGCAGCGTTTTCAATCAACACATAACAGCTCCCATCATGCACAAGGTCAGCAACTTAGTCTATAGGCTAGGTGACATAGACGCCGCATTAGTAGAAAGGCCAGTAATCCATGTCAATCTCTCTAGCCGCACAAGAACTCACCTTGACAATTAGCAGGAGGGCGTCCACATGTCTTGTCGCGTCATCATAGACGCCACTTCAGAGACAATGTACAGGCGTAAGCAGATAGATGCAGACGTGCAAATTCAAAGCAGTATTTATGAGTCACTAAAGCACATAAAACGTATTGTAGAGAACAACACGCTTTAGTAGGACTACGCCTACAAGGCAGTACTTAGGCACCTAGGCACACCAAGACAAAAGTTGCATTTATAGTATAGAACGTGATAGCATAGTGGCACAGATGTCAAGATAGACTGTGGTAAATCAGCTAATTAAGAATCTTAGATATACAGTAGGTGCATAGGACAGTGTTGTCTGTTAACGTTTTTAAGGGCTATTAATAAAGGCTAATGTGGCTCAAAAACTAGACATAATTTTATCTTATAGATTTAGCATCAAGACCAGGGCGTAGTTAGGGGCATAGTTGAGTTTAGCAACAGACGTTGCTAGATAGACAGAGTAGAGAAAACAGGATACGCCAGAAGGCTACGACTTGCCTAGATGGACAGATAAAAAACGTACTTAGCAATCATGTGTTCTTCCCAGGACAGGTGTTAAGGCATACATGGACTTCAATGAGCGGCGGTTATGGAGATGAAGAGATGAAGTTGAAGACGGAACATGTGTGTCATGGGATTATGTGGGTGGCTGTGTTAATGATTACTAACAAGCTGCCAGACTAAAAACATCGCTGTTAATTGCGTGGCAGCAACTAACGCCTTATATCCTGATTCATGACTTCATGACAAAAGCTTTCTTTGGAACGAAGCCATACCTTCCACCTTCGGAAGGTAGGTGGGGAGGCAGGGTGCCTTCCATCCATCCATCCTTCATCCCTTCTCCCCTTATCACGCCAAACATCCGCTCAAACACAACCACTATCATCACAAGCAGCGCCTTCAGCTCCTTTCTATGCGCAGACAGACGGAAGCCAAGGTCGCCAAAGGATTCAAAGCAATCGAGAAAGCAGCTGGACAGGCTTAGAACCAACAAGAGCTATATACCTGCCTATTCACAAGGTGACACAAGTCCGTCCCACACCACACACACAAATCCACATATTCGCACCCTACACGGTCCCATCAGCTGACGCGATTTTCATCCCATTATTGCATCCCAGTTGCAACAGCGCGCAAGAACCCGATGCTGATATCATCCGTACCTTCTAGACAAAACAGTCGTCTTGCTCGCGACAGACAAGACGGCAGGACTCGACGACAGACCAGATAACCATTGACGCGGAAGGATCAATTGTTCTAGATTATCCAGAAAGTCTTATGCGTTCGAGGTCCCTGCTAAAGCAAACTAGGGAAAGGCTGCTCTTGCCGAGAGGGTATTTTGATCCTATTTCTTTGTGTTTTAAGATTCTGAACTGACCGGCAAATTGGCAGGACAGGACCTTGCCTGGAGAATCCGCCTGTTTCAAAGTGAAGGTCCCGCTTCTTCGGCACACCCGGTGAAGGGCTTGCGGTTCAGCGGAGGGAAAGGCACGGCCGGACCAGCGCATGAGTTTGAGGCGGACCAGCAAGCCAGGCCCAATATTTTGGAAGATGCAGTTCCCTTTCTCTTTGACCTTTGGCGCTTGCCAATGGTCAAAGGGAAATGGTACTCCACAGTTCACCAAGGAGGAGTATGCCGTAGAGACGATTGTGGACTCCCGCATCAATCCCGTCGCCAAAGAGCAGATGTACACGGTGGAATGGAAGGGGTTACAGCACCAAGGACAATATCTGGGAGCCATTGAAGCACCTTGGAAAATGCAGGTCCACGATCAAGGTCTTTGTAAACTCTCAAAAGCCAAAAAATAAGGGGAATGGGAAGGGGAGTAGAAAGTGTCACAACACAACTTCATGCATGATTTGGGCTTGGCATCAGCCCCAAAATGTACCACCTCACGTGGGATACACTCATTACTCGCAACGTCCACTTAAGAAGAAAAAGAAAAAAGCATCGCATCTGGTACAGCCGCATGTATGTAATCTGATGTTGACGAGGTAATCAGCCGAAAGGTCGAGATAGTGGAACCCAGCGCGACGAAAATACCAAGGGCCAAGTATAACAACCACGGCGACGACCACAATGGCTGGTGGCGTTTTCTTTACGCAAGGAATTGATTTCTAGTTTATGGCTTTATGCATCCTGATTTATTGGGCCGACTTGGTCAGTTCGGGCATCTGGTGGTAACGTCGCGCGCCTTGCTTCCCGCCTTGCTGCCGCTGCGAACCGAGCTGGAGTGTGAAACGAATTCGGTCGGGCGGCCTTGTGAGCCGTTGAGAGGACCAAGTGTGCTTTTATGTCGTCAAAAGTTACGGCCTGATTCGAGAGGCCCGATTGCGACAAGATGAGCCAGAGATGTTGGTCTATTGAAGTCAAGGCGGGAGCTTCTATTGGGTGAAATGCGGCGATGAAAGATCTGACGGAGGCCCACGAGCACCGAAGTTTAGTAAGGGTGAGTACGATGAGGAAGTCCGAGGGTTTTTAGAGGCTGCATTCCTTGTAACAATGTAATTAGCAGGGTTGGGTCAAGAGCAAGTCAAGAAGAAAGGCTGTGGGACGTGTCAGCCAGAGGATTAATTTGTCAAGGGCCTAGGCAGCGAATAGTTGGTATGCGTGTCATGAATTCGTTAGCAGCGTTGATTCATTTGTGTTAGAGATGCTGCACGGGATAGATGCGACGGTCAGTTCGTCTTCTAAAGATAAATCCTGTTCATACGACCGAGAGTGGTCGACATAAGTAACAGAGCCAGTGAGGTTTTTTTCGGCGCCGTCGGCATCTCGCTTGCTCTTCCCAATCTTCCTTCTAATAATACTGTTCACCTGATTCAAAGTTTTGCCCTAGGATTAAGCTGTCTTACCCTCTATGACGCTTATCTCACTATGCCTACCTAAAAGAACTAGAGAGGGATTATTAATGTGTTCTGCTTCTAGACTGCTGGGACTACAGGTGTGTAAACCTGCCTATATATTTATACTTTAGTCATCTATACCTAGTAATTAAACAGCAACAATCCTATAAATAGTTAACAATGCGTAGGGGCAAGTATCCCACCTAAAAGCAAAGCCTACCACTAGTTATTACCTGCCTTCCCTAAGGGCTACGTCTCTGACAAGCGCTTGATATAAATCCTTACCTAAGCTTCCTTGACGCTACTCCTACTCTACTTTTAGCATAAGACCTAATAGCCCTATTAGTTTCCTGTCTAATTTACGCCTTAACTTGTCTAGGCTGCTAAAAATACTACCAAGAGTGCTGCCAAAAGGGCCACCAAAAATGCTGCCAATAGTGCTACCTGTGCTCTAGCCCGGCCTCCCTCCTCCTGACCACAGAATTGTTTTCCTAGACGCCTTGCCCCGCCTTTCTAACAACCTCTCTCACAGCGAAAACCATGGCAGAGGCGTTTTGAGAGCACGAGTCCATCTGCCAAATCCTGGTCCTGATTGACGGCCTCAGCGCCCGCAAAGCCGGGGCTCTACAGACAAACCCCTCTTTTTCATCATCTAACGCATGACCATCGACATGCATGTTAGAAGGCATCATGGCCAGGGCTAAGCAGTGTTTGGCAAGGATACGCCTTGTTTTAGCTACCTATCTACATATCCTAGTACTCCCAAGCTAACAATGCCCGGCTGTCTCGTCGCCAGAACCCGTTCGACAAATGGCCTGCCAAGTCGATCCTCCTCTAACCAAGTCTTTTCGCAAATAGCTGCTCTTCTTCCGCTCACTCGTGCCCGTCACACTGGGCCAGGCAGGCCACCGGTTTTAATGACCCCACTCCTCAAGCGTGTTAATGGCACCGACTTTTAAGGCCAACCAATGCCCAAGCGACTGAAGGCTTGGTCGGTTAAACGTTTGATTATCTAAGCTAGCAAAGAAGGAAGTGGGAAGACGTAGCACAGCTTTAAATTTAATAGAAGAAATGGGACGCGCCTCCGGTTCGGCACGTGGAAAGCGGATTCACGGAGAGGCAGGGGCATGGCGGCTGGGTGCACTGTTTTGTCGTAGCATCAGCCTTCATCAGATGATGGTGCTGCGGGAATTTCCCAGCGCTCGGATAACGACAATAGATAACAATAATAGGCTGGCATCTGACGTTGGTGTTTTTTGCGCACAAACGGAAAGTGAATTCTGAACTCTACTGGCGCAACGGACTATACTATATTACCATCTGCCTCGCATCTATCTATGACGCAAGACAGGCGTGGCTTTTTGGTGATGAGGTTGATAGGCTCACGCCGTTAGACCGGTAATTGTCGTGAGGTGTAGGCAACAAGGCGAACTAACATGAACTTGGGATGGCTTAGGTCAATCGGCTGAAATGGGCAAGTACCGCTGGGTAATAAATGTCAGCATCTTTTTGAGGATGGATTTCCCCAGGACGGTGGTCCTGGCAGATGGGCTTAGTCACAGCATTACAGAAGTACCTGGAGAAACTGGTGCTACTTTTTGCATACAAAAAGTAGCACCACTTCTTCTGTAACCCGCCACAACTGCCACTGCCACTTCCACAACCACATCCGAACTGCTGTCACTATGGTAGCTTCCCTGGCAGCCTATTGTGGTACGTACTGAACGCAAGCTGCCGCACGGAAAGCGGCCAACCACCCCACTCACGTCCATAGGTACCAGTATTGTAGTGGGCCCCACCCTTGTCCACCGACTGCAAATCGGTGATTTTTTACCGATTTACAGGGGCGCCACCCCTATCCACTCACTGTAAGTCGGTAATCTTTTGCCGATTTCTAGTGGACCCCTTCTCCCCAAAATCCTTATCCCCGTCAAATGCACTTGTTGATCGGAAGCCGCACTGCAAGTGCAATCGCCTCATCCGCCATCGCCATCATCATTGCAGCCCAATTTCGTGCCTCGCGAGTGCTTCTCTAGTCTGCATCACATCATTGCCTTGCTTACTAGGTAGAGACTTGACAATGACTGCCTCCGGCATAAGGCTGCACTCCAGACAAGGACATACATCCTGTCGCTGTACCTTTGGCCTGTGGGCTCCGTCATTGTAGGCTGCTGTGCTGTGAATCATGTTGATAGGTGGTGATGGTGGTGCATCGTGTTGATGGGTTTTGTTGATGGTGATGATGGCTCGTGCGTGGAGTGGAGAAGGGAGGGATGCGGTGAAAATGTCCTGTAATAGTTCTCCATAGTGGGTATTTCAACCCACCCTGTTGCCGGCAGCATTCCTTCTGGAGAGGAGCCAGCACCTTGCGGGGTTTGGCCGGTGCAGTGTTGTTCTGATTCCTGGATTGTTGGTGAGTACCTGTTAATGGGATCTTATCGATTGCCGGTTCCTGACACAATCACCCTTGGATAAGGCACCTCGTGCATCCAACAAACCGTCCACTCATCCGCTTAGTGATTCCGTCCCACTGGTCTACTGCAACCGGTAGCAGAAGCTATTATTTGTGCCGCATCAGTATCTGTCGAGAACACGTCGGCAAATGGCTTTTGGCCCTGCCAAGCGATACACTCCTTCTCGAAAAACAACCCGACGTTGCTTCCTTACTCGTGCGTGGGGTGTAGCAATAGCAAGTTGGCAAGAACAACGTGGCAGGCACCACGCCCTTCTCACCTCCCTATCACGTCGCTTCGCGGCCTTTCTATTCTCTCAACCCACCATTCATCGTCCACCATCTTCTATCAGTTACAGGCCGAGCATCAGCCTCTGGCATCCCTTCCTTGGTCGACGGTCGAGATACAATAACGCTTAAACCACTGTCACAAATCTTTCTGGCCCCCCCCCCCCCCCCCCCCCAGCAACCCCGACTGCGAAAACAATCTCGAGCTTCATGGCCCGCCTTCAACAGGCCCCCAGTGCCGCAAAGACGCAATCAAGCTCCATCCAAGACAAGATTAAAAGTTTCTCCAGCAAGATCCTTGATACGCTACCGACGCCCAAAAGCCTGAAAGAAGCGTTGGCCAATTTTAAAGCTTCCTTAGCAGAGCATCTATATTGCCAGGACCCCAGTATCACCAGACACACCCTGCCGGCTGACATTGTCCGTCTCCTCTCCACTTCACTCCCTCTGGACCACAGATACACCTCGAGACAAATCTCGGGAAAGGTGGCCAAGGCGACAGCAATCTCGGACATTGAAATCCCACGCTTGCTCTTCTTCCTTTCCTACGACCAGGCAAATCAGGGCCGTCCCTTTTTCACCGAGCTACTTTCTTTTGCTAGCCTCTGCCCGAACCAAGTAGATGCCTTCTTCGACCTCCTATGCAGCTGCGCCTCAGCACGTCGTCAACATCACTGCGTGAACAAGCGTGGACTCAGTAAACAAGCACCCGGGATACAATACAGCGACGTCCTTTCTGCGAGACAGAGGCTCCCTCCACTAAACTTAACCCGCGACGCACGCCACATCAAGGCACACAGCTCTGGCCAACATCTGGCCACCGCCAAGGACCATTCTACTCCGTCGCCAGAGGTTCCGCGTCGTCCAAACCAAGCATCACCCTCGAGCCCTTGCACACCGTTGTCAATCCAAGTCAAGGTTCCCTCCGGCGCCCCCTCCGACGATGAAGTATTTGCCCTTTCATCCGCCTATCGAATTGATAACATAGAGTTATCTATCTTTAGAGACTCCGAATTACCGCTTGTCATGCAAGATCCCGAACACCAGAAATCGGTTGCATCCGACGACAGTATTGTCCCTTCAGATGAAGCAGACTTTTCCGACCTTTGTACAAGTCCAGTTGATAACGACGCCGACGACGACGACGAGCCTCACTTCCAAGAGCTTGGAAGTCCCTTGCAAGAACCCACCAGCCGAGCCGACAAGGACAGCGAGAACGACTAAGACACACAAACCCCGTCACCTTCCGACGATACGAATCTCCATCTTGTTCCCGAGGCCCGACACCGCCGCCCAGAAAAGAGAGCGCGGCTTGACGATGATGTTCTGTCCAGTCCGTCGTCACCGATTGGTCTTTGGAGACCTTCGCCACCGTCTATTCTTTTAAATTCAAATAATCTGCCCTCCGATCCCCCGCCATTGACGAACCGGTCTATCTCGCATGAGGTCGACGGAACCCCTAACCACTCGGTCGGATCAGTTCTTTGCGGCCCCAGCCGTGGGCTTGTGAATCCTGGCCTTATGGCTGACGCAACACGGCTCAACGAAGCTATCGAAAGCCTCGTCGCATGCCAGTCCATGCAGACATGCGTGCTCGACACGAGCAAACTATTGGCAATAGCAGAGGCCGATTACCGTGTCAAGCCAAGGCTCGCAGAGTCAGCCAGGCAGGTCCAGACGCTCATCTTTCCCCTCCTCGTAAACCAAAACCACTGGATCCTCGCCATCATGCAACGCAGCGGGCTTCTCGTGACACCGCCTGATCTCTACGACTCTCTGCCTGGAGCACAGACTGTGCCCAGAGTGCAAGACGCCCTGCGGTGGTTCTGCCGACACTACATGCCCTAAGGCCTAAACAATGTCAACTACCTGGTAGATTGTTGTTGTCGTTGTATTATTTTACGCCTGGTCCATTCCTATATAGGACAAAGGGCGCCTATGGGAGCCGACTACCTGGTAGAATGCAGCATCCCTCGGCAACAGAACAGCATCAACTGCAGCGTGTACGCGTTTACATCGTGTATCCATATTCTGGTGGGACGACCTCTTCCAGTGCGCCTCTCCATCCCAATATAGCAGAGGGCATTGGCCACCATGGTCGGCGGAGAAGAAGTTGAGTGGAGGTTTTTGATTTCAGCCCTACCCCGACCAGCACCGCTTGCTACTAATGTAGAGGCGTTGCTGGCACCGCAGTCTGGTAATTCCTTGCAAGTTTATTCCAGCGTCCTTGACACGTTCGAGGCACAGGACAACACGTTGAAATCCAGTCTCGCACAAGACCTTGACCCGTCCGTTCAATTGACCACCTCCACACTCGGCGACGTTGTCGCAGCGCATTCCATATTGCAGCTTCTAGAGACAAGCTCGGCCCACGAGGCTGCCATCTTACAGAGACAGCTGCATGAAGCAACGACGATGGACTGATCTGCGGCGGAGGAGACGGAGCCACCGCATCGCGGAGCGCAGAGACAGATGCAGCGCAGTCACAAGAGCGTCAACAAACGAGGGTCCGGCTCATGACCATTACTCATCAGCCAAGGGAATTAAGCAGGGCTCTGCAGGAACAGAAACAAGGCTTGCTCTCAGAGCAAAGGGCTCTTCATCAGAGAGGGATCTCTAAGGCCCAGGGGTCACGATGATGGTGGGACGCACAAGGATTATTTATTACCCACCACACACATTAGGGATAGAAAGTAGATGACTAGCGGTGGTGGCCTTTTTTGAACTTTGAGGTTTATTCTTATACCCGGGGGCAACTTAGTCAGCGCTGTGAGCTAAATACCCCCTCCTCACGGAGGGGGCGAAAAAATGGGGTTGCCACTCCGAAAAAGGGGTTGCCAACCCCCATCACAAATACCCTCACTTTTGCGTGCGTTATATAGTATAGTCAACTTTTTATTTCTTAAAGTAGTAATACCTATAACGTTATATAATAACAAGAGTAGTATTAATTAATAGCCCTAATTAAGGGCTTTATAATAGTACCTTTTTTTCTTTTTTTATATAATAACTATAAATTTATATTACTACTATAATATAGGTATTACTTTTATTATTATCTACTATATATTACTAGTCCTTTTTTATTTATATTAATAAAGGTGTAAATAGGTAATTTTATAGTATAACCCCTATAGCCCTCTAGCTATTTATCTTATTCTTTATAGTATAATATTATAACTTATATTATAAAGGACCTTATAATATTAAAGGGCTAGCTATTAGTATTATTAGTAGTAATAGTAATAATATATAACTATTATTATTATTATTACTCCTAGGTATACTAACTAATTCTTTACTTAATATAACTAAATTAATGTCCTTATTAATAGGGTTATTAATGTTTATAAAGATCTTAGGGTTAAATTCTAGCCCTACTACCTCTATAGCTATATTAGCTAATACCTAATTAATATTACCTTAACTAAGAGGTCTTACTATATACTTAAATTAGTTAAGTATATACTATAGTAAAGGAGCTAGGTTAAGGTTAATAGTAAATTTCTTTTTACTTTTAGTATTATTATTATACTACTATAGATCTAAAGGGTTAAATAGGATATATAGTTAATCTTCTCTAGTATAGACTAGCTATTATTTAAAGGTTAGTTACTTTATTTATTTATTTACCTTTTAATACTTAGTAGTACTATATTACTACTAGACTTTTTTTTTTTACTTATAGGCTATTTTTTTTACTACTGCCTATTAGTACTATATTTTTACTTATATTACCTTTATAACTTACTTATTATATACCTCCTTTATATTTATAATAGTAACACTAGTTATAAAGAAGTATTATAGTTTAATAGCTTACTAGCACTAGCTTTTCTATTACTATATTTCTAGTCTAGTATTTTAGTCCTTAAGGTGTTACTACTAGTACTTATAGGTAAAAGATCTTTTATAAATTACTTACTTTACTACTTTAAATCCTTTCTTTAAAGAACTACTTTATATACTACTATATTTCTTCTCTATATAGTTAGTAATAAAGATTACCTTATTAAAGTAGTTATTATATAGTAAATAATAAATAAAATATAATAGTATATCTTTATTACTTTATTATATTCTTTTAACTAGTTAGCTAAGTATAATATTATTATATATAGGCTATATACTTGCCTTCTTAAAACCTTTTATAATATAGGTAGTAGTAAAGGCCTTTTTAACTATAGTATTAAGGGTAGTAATAAAGTTACCTTTTATAAATATAAGGTTACCTTCTTATATATACCTATAGAGTACTATTTATTAGGCCTTCTTAAAGTATTAAAAGACTTCTATATCTATTAGTTAAAGAAAGTGTATTATATAAGGTAAAAAAAAAGTAAAAATAATATTAAAGTTAATATAATATTTTATAAGCTTTAGACTTATATAGCCTATAAATTTATTAAAAAGGAGAAGGTAATATAGTTACTTTAACTTTTTTATAGTATCTTAATAGTTATAATACTTTACCTTTTATTTACTTAGTTAACTATTAAGTAAATATAAATTATAAGTATTATAACTATATATATTAATACTAAAATAGTCTTTAAAAAAGTAGCCTATTTAGTAATACTTTATTAACCTTATATATAACTTTATATTAAAGTACTATATATAGTTTATTATAATCTCTTAGTTAAAAAAGCTAGTTAGTAAATATATAAAGTAGACACCTTCTTAGACTTAGTAATCTACTTAAGTAGTAACTAGCTATATTTTAAAAATTATATATACTAAAATAATATTACTAGATATATTACTAGACCTAACTAAAGTATATAACTTTTAATTAGCTAGATCTATAACTTTAGATAAGTAGTTATATTTTAGTAGCTACTTAAGGATAATTATATATAGCTAGCTACTAAGGTAGCTAATCTAGCACCTAGATTTATTAGTGTTCTATATCTTAAATAGGCTAATATTATACTTATAGAGGGTAGCCTAGTACTAGGTAAAGAAGTCCTTTATTAGAGCTAGGTCTAACTTAGCCCCCTTTTAGTATAACTTAACTAGTTTAATAGTGCCTTTTTTCTAGAGCTCTAGATAGTTAGTAAGCTAGCTTTAGATAAAGTGCTTAAAGACTAGTAGTTAACCTTAGATACTATAAAGGTAGTTAGCTATTTCTTTAACCTAGAGTAGTAAAGCTAAAAAGCTAGATTTATAGAGCTATATAATAAAGGCACTAAAAGCTATATCTTTAGCCTTTATAAGCGACTAAGGCTAGCTAGGCTTATCTAGGCTAACGTAAAGGTTATAGTCTTCTTAAAAGGCCTAAAGGTACTTCTAAATTACTATATAAAATACACTATAATCCTAGGTAGCCTAGTGTATAAAGGGTATATTAGTTACTAGCTTATCTACCTATTAGTAGGTTACCTATTAATAGGTAATATATAGTATTTTAGCTACCTTTTTAGTAGTAATTATATTCTTATTATATTAGTAAGGTATATTAAAGGGTTAAAGTAAAGTAAATAGTTTAGTTACTATTAATATTTATTAATAATATATCTAAATAATTACTTATTTTTAGTAAGAATATAATAAAAAGTAGGACTAGGTTAGGACAAGTGGTAACCTTATTTTCCTAGTAGTAACCCTATTTTTTTGCCCCCTCCGTGAGGAGGAGGTGTTTAGCTTTGACGAAGGCTGACTAACACCCTCGGGTACTTAAATTTCATGTAGCAACTGGAGCTTTACTTAGATCCAAGAGAAAAACAAATGTGCTTGTTCCACACCTGCTGTTAGTTTTGTTCATGCCCAGAGGGAAATGATGAAGATCATAGCGCCACAGCGTCCCCCCCTCCCCTACCGCTGTACAGCCTGAATGTTACTGACGCCGCACAGGTCCATCCATCTATCGCGTATCGCTTCTTCTTCCTTCTCCCAACTAACCCCACTCCCCCATCACATCACGGCTCAACCGATCCGCAACCCACCCGTCGCTACATAAAGAGACGGTCACCCTCTGCAAGGCAACAATTGCTAGTGCCGCCATCGCATCAACGACAACTCGCGCGATAATACATGGACCGATTTCTGCCTCACGAGCTGCGCGCTGCCGTTGTTATTAACTACGCCGCCTGGCACCTCCGAGATTGACAAGGTGGACAATGGACGACGAGGTGGACGAAACAGCCCCGCTGGCTTCGCGTCCATCCCTCCCCAGGCGTCGCATTGCCCCAGCCTTACCATAAGTACTCTGCCTCCTTGACAACTGACGGCAGTCACTCTTAGGCTCCATGAGCTAGGTCGCCCTGGGTACCTGATGAATATTACGCATATTAAAGCTAACCTGTGTACGTCTCTCGACAAATACGGGCAATGATAGCCTTCCTCTCGTCCACAATCAACAGGCCTCGCAGCTATCTGAGCACGACCCGATTTCTATTTGTACACAGAAACTACTCACACGCGCATTCTCGATGGCATAATCCGAATGGCGAACGCCTTCGCTTCATGCACCCAACTGCACTCGCCTCGCCTCGCCTTGGCTGCCGGACTCGATCGAGCAAATCCAAACCCGGTTCAGAAGATGTCACTCAAAGCGCACATGCCTATCTCGACCAGGCCCTCGCATTCCAGATCCGTGGTCCATGATCGTTTAACTATGATGCCAGCATCTGTTTACTGGCCCACCTATATTTAGCTTCTAGTTGCCTCCTGTTCTTCCTTCTTTTCCCTTCTTCGGGCAACTGTATACCGCAGTAGTGTGCCGATTCACACTGAAGGAATGCGCATCCCCCGTGATACCAACACATCTCCTCTCCCCAAGTCGCCCACTATCAGTACCGCATCACATGAACCTCATCCAGTCTCCATGCGACAATCTGGACCCTGCTGGCGAAGCAGCCTCTCGTGTGTCACGAAGCTCGGCACTTTTCAGTTCTCAACCTATTCTTCCCATTTGACCTGCCCCATTGTCCGCTTAGGGCGCGGTGCCTGGACGCCATTAAGCCGGCTTTACTGCACAAGTCCCACCGATTCATCCCTCCGGGGTAGAAACCAGACGCAAGGCGACGCCCGGGATTTGCGCCGCCATGCGCCGTCTTCAAATCCTCGCCCCCCCCCTTATGACGCAGGATGCTACTATTAGGCTGAGTCGTATGAGTGGTAAGACTCAAGGTTGGGGGGTCCAAGTGAGAGTTAAGCGAGGACAATGTCGATGAGATGGATGGTTTGGATTATCAGCAGACTCAGGATCCCGTCCGGGCCCATGAGGTTGTCCACTATATTGGGCACGGATTCAATCACAATCAATCAGCAGCATATCTAGGTCTCCAAATATGCCCCTTTGTTCCCCCGGCCGTTTGCTTCTACGCTCCCGTACGCAGGCAAGGTCATCCACTTGTTCATAATAGCAAATTTGACCAATTTAATATGTCAAAAAGGGATTAGCCTCTCGAATCACGGCGTAGATATATGTCTATGGTTGAGCTTGTGGATTTAGCCACACTCAAGGACTCGGGGAGAATGGTGGTCGGGATCCTGGTCTCGTTATTGGCCATGAGCGTGCGCCCGGTCACATTCATGGAACATTGTCGGGCTCATGCTCTTAGGGCCTACTGGCACACCTCAGTCATGCACGTGCTCATAGATCAGCGTGATGAGGGAGCCGTACAAGTATCTAGGCATAGACAGATCCACAGACATCAATTCGACCTTGGGCTAGAAGCGATCGGAAATGCAAACATAATGCTGCACAAGGCCTCGACCAAGGTCTCCAAACGTATCCGTGCAGTCAGTCAAGTTACTCAACAACCATGCACCGGACGATGGCAGTGTACGAGGACTACTGCATCAACAACTATCTGCACAATTGGGCAGTACGACTCAGACATTGCACTCGTTCGTGCACGTGCGCTTGATAGTGGACAATATAAGCAATACGCTCAAGTTCGTTCACGTGTCCGGGATTGTGGGAGCCTGAAACCGCGTGGGATATTCAGGAGGTCGTGGGCGTAGAACAGACACATGGACGTGGGTGTGTACATGTGGCCAAGGGGCGTCGTTTTTTCCCTAATCCATCGAGGCTGAAATCAAGGAAGGTCTCAGACAAGATGACTCGTACGTCGCGGCGTTTCCTTGTTCCATATACAACATGCATATAAGCATGTTGTCCAAGTGTCACAGAAGCTCACGCTCTGCATCTCAGGCCCATATGGCCTTGGGACCGAGGGGTGTGGAGCGCTACCTCAAAGAAGTAGCTCTCGACCCCAGGCACTGCTTATTAATTAGGCTCTCCTTCGGAATAACTTTCAACATCTTAGGCCAGAGTCCCGCCCGGCTTCAATTCAGCTAGCCTTTTCTTGACGAAGATACTAAGGGCGTGCATTCGGCTTCAAGTCCCCGTACCAGGACTCTCACTAGTTGATAATTCAAAATCAAGACTGCCTCCCTGTCTTTTCCTGTCTGTCACTAAATATATGTCTATATAGAGCATCTAATGCAACGTCAGGTGAGCTATCGCCCCCAAAACCTTCTTTGTGATCTTGACCAAGGTTTTCCGCACTCAAGACCTCCATGTCTGGGTCCTGGGTAGTGAATAACCACGACTCCGCCCCCGAGAGCGGCACATTCGGGGGACGTGACTGGATCTCGATATAGAGAGGTACTTTGCAGTTGGATCCACAACACCAGGGAAGCCCATCTACATGGTAAGCTAGCTAGTAGGGGAAAAGTTCCAGGATCAGGTTCAGGCCGGGCATACACTACCGCGTTGCCGGACGAGGTCAAATGCTCGCTTCTCTCTCCATGTCCATGTTGATGAACGAGGCGGCGTCTCAGTCCGTATCACAATGTGGGAGGGGGTTGTTCATCTCCGCCTTCTTGTACACGTCCCTGTCGGGTTCGAGATCGTGTTCCTGACCGGGTCCTTCCTTGGATTGATGCGTGTGTATTTTTGTTTCTCACTAGGCGTAATGATGGCTCGCGCTGCCGCCCCCCTCGAAATCTCCCATGCGCTCAGGACTCTGCCGGGTGATGGTAATGTGGGGTCCATCTTTGTGTCTTGTCGTCGATGTGTCGGTCGACGATGGACCAATACTCAGGCTCTCGAGACATCGGGATGGCGTCGTCTGGATGCTGCGGCCGAGGAGACGGCTGGCGGGGTACGCCGTCCGCGAGGAGCATCGACTGTTGTCCGTGACTCTCGCCTTGTCGACTGTGGCTTGCTCACGCGCGTGCCATGTAGTTTGAGGTCTTGGACTCTACCTAGAGGGGTAGAGAAACCAGTTAACCTACTCGTCAAGGCGGGCAATGATGGACGGGGACGGGCGGGCATAGTCGACTTACTCACGGGCTCTATGACGGTGCGCGGATGCAGCTGGGCGCCCGACGAAGCAATTCGAGCTTTTCCATCACTCATCGCGTGCTCCTGGGACAGCGACTTCTGTGCAGCTACCTTGTGGGGGTCCTAGTGATGTCAGTACTTGGCGTGTACGATTGAAATTTGGAGCTCTAGGTAGGATGCGTAGGGCCATTCTCGTGGTGCATACATAGTACGTACCGACCGCAACATTGTCACTCGGCATGCATTGCGAAAATGGCTGAACAGAAGCCTTGCTGCGCCTGAGAGTATCGTTCTTTTATTGATGCGTGCCGGCCTCAGGAGATGGAGTAATCCCAGCAAATGCTGACTATTTGCAGACGAACTGGGTCTGCCCAGCCACGGTGAATTGGTCGACACGGCCCTTGCCCAACATCCGGCATCTGTTACATGGCGCCTTGTTCACCGCGGCCAGGCCGGGCCGACACGCTACCTAGCAGCCTAGGTAGGTAGGTAGTCTTGTCCCACGCGGTACCCAGGTAGCTCGCCACTGTTCCTGCTGCGGGTCGGACCGTACCGCCATCACTGTGGGGCAACAGTAGACAGTGGGTGCCCCACAAGTTCCCCTTGCAATATCCATCCAAGACCAGGCACACGATTTCCCTCTTCTCACCCAGCCCCGACCGGCTTTTTGTAGCGCTTGGCTGAAGTGCAAACTCGCTGGTTACATGTTGCCGTAATTCCCTGGTTGCATCTTCGTGGCTGGCGATATCATCACCCCAAAGCAGCTTTGCTGCCCCCCTCGGCATTACTGATGCGCAATGGGATGCGCAATAGAATGCGATGATTACATAAGAGCTTCGCTGGCGTGGCTTGGCCGTGTGTGTGGCTTGTTGTCGGCAGAGTATTGCTCCTCAGCAACCCAACCCGGCTGCCTTTGTACTTTACCTCAACTCTCCCATTCCAGATATGTCTGTCACGACCCTGGCCGTGGTGCACGGTATAGCTGAGGCAATAGATGAGAAGACTGGAGAAAAGAAAGCGGACGGCGCTGCTCGTGGGTGCCGCCGTCTTGCAGCATGGGCAAAATGCGATTGACCAGCACCTAACAAGGAGGCACAGGTCGAATTGCTGTCGCTACAGGCTGCAAAAGATTTTGTAGGCCGGCCAGCTAGGGAAAGAGAGGTCACAGTACCATTTAGAACTGGAACGTGCATGTACCTGAATAGAAGGTGTTTAGACGTCTGGCCATTTGATAAGCTGTTAGGTAGGTGGTGGTACGTTGCATCTCTTAGCCCAGACGAACTGGTGGTACTTTTTATATGGAAAAAGTACCACCACTTCTTCTGCCCCCACTCTACCAGCGCCTGTCCTTCGGTTTCTTGCAGCAGGAGGAACTAATGCTACTTTTTATATGGAAAAAGTACCACCACTTCTTCCTCCGGCCGTGGTGAGCACGTATTTAGCCTTACCAAGGTCACACCTTTTCCCGCGCAGCACGTCACGTCCCTCATCTTCCTCACGGTTCTCACATCCTTTACGTCCCCTTTCGCTTTCTGCCTTTCTGTACGCCAATATGACTCGAACATTTCCTACCCCCATCCATCACAATATTAGCGCCGGCATGTTTCATGTAGCTATAACTAGCTTCTATTACCTTGATGACAGTCTCCTGGGTGATCTAGTTCCTGTTTTAATCGTCCGCCACCGCCGCCACTGCCGCCACTGCTCTTCCAGCATCCCAGCCTCCTGTCGCGTCAGCCTTGCCGCCGCCATTCGGTGCGATACGCGAACGAGGCCACTTCTGAGCAATGCAATGGTGTATGAGTGTGGCTAGCAACAGCCACACTACAAGGCGAGTGCCAATGGTTTCGGAGACTTTGGGGGCAGAGGGGACTACATCAGTAATCTTCGTAAGGTCGATGAGGTCTAAGAGCTCGTGGATGTAGCAGGGTGGTGATATTTAATGCAGCTAGGTAGCATCAGGGAGAGAGAGGGCAAGGGTCGGGGGCAGATCTAAGGCAGAACATCATGTACATAACCCAAGGGAGTAATCAACGTCTGGGGCCCAGACAAATTTGTCGTTGTTGGCATGCCACCATGTTGACCCGGGAGGTGATCTCAAGACCCGTATGTGTGACACACCGCCCGGCGGCAGAAAAGTCAGCCCCTCACCTTTCACCCCATCACGCTGGAAACGAGTACATCGGGGTAAGAGTGACAACAGGGGATTAAACTACTTCACTGTATCTTCTCAGCTCATCTCCTGCCAAACATAGGGAATAGTCTTGGATTACGTGACCCGCCGCTTCCTAATTCTTCACCAATATTATCCCCTTTTCTTTTCTTTGTTCCTTTGTTCCTTTGTTTCTTTTTGCCAATTCTTCACCCAACACCATCTCCTTTCCTTCCCTTTTCTTTCTTTCTTTCTTCCTCTCAATAATCATACCACCCACAATAACGCCGTCCGCTGACCCCCGAAAATTCACGAGAGATCACAGTCTCTCACGTCAGTCAACCAAAGTGCACGTCAACACAAAGGAATGCCAGCCAAGTTTGTGAACGCCATGGCCATGTCAGTGAATCTCTGTTCCGCTCCCGCCAGACCAACACGGCGACTCACGTGCTCACTAACTGACCTTTTGAGCGTGGAATGCTTAGACCACAGAAGCCGAGTCGAGTCCGTCCGTTTCTAGACGACGGCATCATTGACGACTGCCTCAACGTTGCGGTCCAGCTCTCCGCCTGGAACCTCTCCGGGTACGATCCATTGCTCCTTGACAGGAACAGCGGCACTCCCTACGAATATTCAATCGACCCCGAGACCTTTGACGCTCTCTCCCAGAAGATTGAACGGGACAGCCGTATCGATCACGACGACCTTCGCATTGAATATGATGCCGCTGGAATGCTGCTGCGTTTCAAGATGCCACAGGGACCAGTCCATTCAATCATGTCGGATCGTATCGCCGAGCTTGTTACAAACGCCGCAATCAACGTCCTTCCCGCCGAAATCGAAGTCGAATCTTTTCGCGAGTTCACTCTCTGTCTGGGAAAAACGACTTTGATCCCCGACGTGGCCTAGGGTGCCATCGACGGAAATTATCACCCATCCGTCGTTGCCGAAATCGCCTACTCTTCACCTCGGAACAGGAATGAGTTGGACACCAAGTGTAAGAGGTACCTGCGTCTGGGCAGAGGCCGAGTCCGCGCTGCCATTGCCATCAAGATACCCTACGACTCGGAAATTGCCGCCAACGTTGCCCTCATTCTCGATCAGCTGCACAACTGCGTCATCACCCTCTGGGTTTTGCGTCATGGCAAGCCGCAGCGCGTCATGAACTGGACCAGCCTCACCCAACATGATGCGAAGCTGACACTCTACTCGGCCGACTTTGCAGGCGACGACGCCTTGGATCCCCGCCGCACACCCGATGACAAGTGGGTACTTACTTTTGACACCTTGTGTTGGCTAGGCGGCGATGCAGAGAGAGCGAGCCTTTGCTGATAGAAGTAACCCTTGTAGCAATTCCTCGGCCCTTGACAGCCAGCCGCCGCTGCCAATTACTGTTCCGTTCACCGATATCGAGATGAAGCTCCGCAGGGCTGTTCAATATGCGAGTCTTTCATCCGCTACGCGCTGAATCCCTTTTGAGTTTACTTCTTTCGGCCCAAGGTTGCCCTCCGTCTCGATTGAAGGTAGCCCAACTGCGCGACTCAAGCACGATGAGCCCGCATACTGGGCGAAATAACAAGTGTAACGGGGCAATCAAGTTTGTTGGCAGCTGGATTGGGGATCAGCCTGACCGCGGACGGCAGAAAGTGCAGTCATATATATAGAGAGCAAAACGAACTCGAATTAGAGAAGCATACTGTAGGATTTGCGTCGTAAAGATGCTTTGTTGAAAGAGAGCACCATGTACAGCCACAGCAACCGATTCTACGGAACAAGGTCGTTGGCGCCGGCGTTTCGATTGAACACAAGGCTGAGTCTGACAATCAATGGACTGGAGTTGAGAAAAGTCGTCGTCTAGAAGGCTTAGATGGAAGTTCCCCCAAAAGAACTTGACCTGGCTGTACTATCCCCCTCTGTCTCCTTACCTGGATATGCCTTTGTGGCCGAATTCTTGGCGCTGATGCCCCAATTTAAGTACGCGCTCTATCCCATTACTTCCTAGTTATATTATCAACTGTGGGAGAGGGGGCGACAATGTAGGCAATATCTGCGGATATTGCACCGAAGTGAAGCTGAAGCTCGTGAAGCTTGGAAAAGATCTAACTAGCCCGTGGGCTGATGGGTCAGAAGGTGAGGGGGGGCCGAGACTGGCCAGTCTGGAGGTCACCTCACCTCCCAGCCCGCTCAACATCAACGCCACACCCTCAGCCTGCCTACCCAACCCATCATCAATCTATAGCCCGTCATGACTACTCTCGATGCCCCGTGCAAGCTGTCAGTTGGACTGTTGCCGCAAAAGGAGTTCCAAATTATTACTACAACCCGCCCAAACGCCCTTGGCATTGCCGCATGCACGGTGGTGCATCACTGCCGCCACCACCATCCTCACTGATATGACTCTCAACATCCCACTGCCACGGCGAGCGACTGTCCTGATTGTTGGCTGTGCAGGTGCAAGGAACGTTTGCTGACATGAGACTCTGGCAGGCATTCCACCATCGTAACTCAACCCCCGCACTTGCGAGCCACCCCCGCATCTAAGCCACTCTGTTTCTCCGTCTTTATCACTACTACGACCTTTTTAAAACTATTATAATAATTACTATATATAACTAAATAAGGCTATTTTCTAGGAAACCTTCTCTAGCTACTTATAAAGTAATATACTTAAGAAGAGCTTAAGTAAGCCCTTAATAATATAGTAGATAGTATTTATATTTACTAGGCTACTTAAAAGTAAAATATACTATACTAGTTACTTTAATACTATTTTAATAAGTAGTAAAGTAAAGATACTATATATACTTATATATAAAAGCTATCCTAGGCCTAAGAGAAATATTTATTTAAATAAGTATAGATTTAGAATACTCTAGGTACTAGCCTTACTTATTAATAACTTAAGGGCTTAGTAAGGTATATACTAATAAATACTTATAGTATATATTAACCTTTAAGAAAAAGGTAACTAAGCTAATTTTTATAGTAAAACCTATTAATTAAGACTTAGTAGTTTAAGATAATTAATACTTAGAAATAAATAGCTTATTCTTCTAAAGTTATTTAGTTTTTTTACTAACTAGTATTCTTACTATAAAGACAGTTTATTTATTTTATAAATAAAATATAAATAAGATTAGTACTATAAATAGTAGAGAATCTAATAGGCTAGTACTAGGCTTTATAGTATTTAAGTATATTTAAGAATATAGCTAAGATTCTAGGTATAGGTATTTATTTTAAAGTATTTAGCTACTAATAAAAGGTCTTTATACTAAGAAAAGGTAAAGAATCTAGGCTACTTAATAAAGAAGAAAAGAAAGTAAAATATAGGAAAACTACCTGTACTTATAATAACACCTAGTAATAATAATATATATAATAATATATAGATCTTACAATTCTTAGACCTAATATATAAATATTTAAAATAAGGGTATAGATTAATAAAGTAACTATAAAAAAAGTAGGTTTTACTAAATAAATAAAAGTATAGTAATAACTAGTAGTATTATAATAAGGTTAGGTAGTATAGTCCTAGGAATTATATAGTAGTTAATTAAGGGGTAGATTAATAGAAAGACTATCTACCTATTAAAAAAGGGATTTATAGACCTCAGAAGAGGTTAAAGAGAGAATAATTATTTATATACACTTATAATTATTAGCCTTAATACTCTATATAGAAATATACTACTAGTTATTACTATAATTTTATTTATTTAGTAAAATCTACTTTTTTAGTAATTACTTTATTAATTTATACTTTTATTTTAAGATCTTTATAGATTAGGTCTAAGAATTATAAGACTTATTTATTAATATATATATTATTATTATTACATATTATTATAGTATAAGTAGTTTTCTTATATTTTACTAATTTCTTTTTCTTTTATTAAGTAGTAAATACTTTACTTTTTCTTAATAGTGCCTAGAGGTAGATCTACTTTATTAGTATAAGTATTTTATACTAAAGTATAAATAGGCTTTCTTATATAGTTATAATAAATTTATTATTAGTAAAAGTATAACTAGAATATATTATTACTATTTAGTAAAACATCTACTAAATTAATAGTAGAATTAGTAATAAATATAGTATCTATATACTCTTATAGACTAATTTATAAAGATAAGATAAACCTTAAAAGCCTCCTCTAAAGTAGTAAAAATCTACTAAGATTTATTAAGTGTATATATATTTTTCTTTTATTTTTAACCTCTTTTTTATTTTATATTCTCCTTTTTTAATTATAAGTATATAAAATAGATTATTTAACTTATAAGCTAATTTATAGATCTAAAATATACTAATATAAATAATTAATAATAGTCTTATTAACCTAATAAGTAAAGTAAAAGCATTAGTTAAATAAAGCTAATAAATATTTTACCTAAGATATTTATAAGAAAAATAGTATTTTTAAGAATAAACTTATAGAAAGTTATATAGTATAATAAATAATAGCTATATATAGATAATATCTTATAGCTATAGTATATACTAAACTAAGGGCTAAAAGTTACTTAATTTATTAGTTTAAATATTAGTATATACTTTTATTATTAAGACACTAGCTTTTTTATTTTTTAGGAAGTCTATAAAGAACTATAATACTTATTAAATTATTTATTATAGTTAATTTATAGACCTAATTTACTATAGCTAACCTCTTAATCTCTTTAAATAAAAGTAAAAGGTCTTTATTATCTAAAGGTAAAGATATAAATATCTTTAGTAAGGTTAGCTTTAGTAATATATAGCTATAAGCTTTTCTTAAAAAGATAATAATATAGGAGAAATAATATATATATTATTATTATAAAGACCTTTTTTTATAACCTTAGTAAACTTCTTAAAGTAACTTATAACTATATAAGACTACTTATAAATAGCTTAACCTTTTAGTAAGTAACTAATAATTATTTAAATAACTTTTTTTTAGTAAAAGTACTTAGATTTAAAGATAATAATATTTTAGACTTCTTAGAGAAGTTTAATAACTTTTTAGCCTTAGTGTATAAGAAATTATTTAAGAAGATTTAAGAAGTCTATATATACTTTATTTTAACTATTTAAAGGTAGTATAGTTAATTACTTAAGACTAAACTTCTTAGATAACTATAAAAAATAAATTAATAAAAGTCTTTAGATTAGTAGACCTAAAGATACTTTAAAACCTTAATAAGAAGTTATAGAACTTATAAATAGTCCTTATATTATAAATAGTAATTTAGTAAAATAATAACTTTTATTTTAATTATTTAAATACTATAATATAAAGCTAAGGCTATAAAGATATAAAGCTTACTAATATAAAGCTTATATAAATTATTTTTATTATTTTTTATAAAATAATAACAACTATAGCTAAGTACTTAAGCTATAAAGTTATAAATATACTATTAAGCTATAAGTTAATATTAAAAATATTTAGTTATTTAGTTAAAAGTAATTAGCTTTATAATAGCTATTAGGTAACTTAAAGACTAATATTACTATACTATAGTTAAAGTCTAATAGTAAGTCTAGCTATTAAGATATTAAAAAAAAGCTACTAGTGCTATAAGCTAAGGAGTTATATTATAGTTAAAGCCTTTACTAAAGACTTTTAGAATCTTTTAATTAATAAGGCTAAAGTATAAGTAAAGATATAGTAGTAACTTAGTAAGTCTTTAGCCTAATAACTTTATAACTATTAATATTAGAAATCTTAATCTTATAGTACTAAAGTACTAACTTAGCCTTATTTTAGACCTATAGTAGTAGTTATAACTATAGTTAAAGAGGTTATAGTTATAAAGAATAATATAGATATAGCTAAGATAGTAGTAATAGTTATAACTATAGTTTTAACTAAGGCTATTAAGGTTTTAATATTAATACTATAATTACTTTTATACTAAAGTACTTATAGTTTTAAAAGTAATAAATTATATTATTATTAACTATAACATACTTACTACTATATTACTTATAGTATTTATTACTATAAGACCTTTTACTAGTATTTTAAAGAGATAAGTAATCCTAAGACTTTATAAAGCTTAGTATTATTAATAAAGAATATAATAAAAGATAACTAAATAATAAGATATTTTTATTATATCTTACTATACTTTAAATCCTTTAAATACCTTATTAATATAGTTTACTATATAGTATATAAAATCTTTCTAGAATTAGAAGGAGAAGTTTAAGCCTATAAAGCCTATATTACTATATAACCTTTATTAAATAAGTCTATAAATCTTAACTATATAAAAAGTTACCTTTATAGATAAGTATTTAAAGTCTTTTTATTTCTTCTATTATAGCCTAGGCTAAGAATATATATACTACTAAGAAAATAAAAACACCTAGCTATAAGTAAAAGTCTTATAATATATAATAGTAATATAAGTCTTAACTTATTAACTTACTTAATATTTAGTTTTTTAACCTCTTAGTTACTAATTAAGTTA